ACCACCGAGCCGCCACCACCACCGAGCCGCCACCACCTCAAAAAAATCGCGTCGCGTGTAGCACCTCCATCTTTAAACCACCACTATGCCACCAATTCGTACCGGATGAACGCGCAAACTCATTGAGCAAGAAGGCAGGATCGAACTTGCTATACAGGCGCTAAGAAACAAGAAAATAGCTTCTATTACTGAAGCTGTGTGTGTTTATGAGGTACCTCGTACAACATTACGCGACTGCGTTAAGGGGATCGGTTATCGTAACACCACTTACGCAAATTGCTCAAAATTGGACAAAATCGAAGAGGATTCGCTTGAGTGATGGATATTGGATCTAGATATGCGTGGTAAGGCCTCTACCTTAGCTATGGTAAAAGAGATGGCCAATATTCTACTTACGTAGCGCTCTATTAATACCCCTCCCTTACCAATCAGCAAAAATTGGATATCTCAGTTTGTTGCACACCGTGAGAAGCTAAAAACCCGGTTTTCACGTCGTTACACCGCTCAGTATGCATTATGTGAAGATCTGGAGCTTATTCGTGAGTGGTTCGATTAATATCGCAACATTATTGCTAAATATGGTATCCTTGATAACGATATCTATAACTTTAATAAAACTGGCTTTGTAATAGGGATTACTAGTACTTCAAAAGTAATTACTAGTCGGGAGTAGCAGAGAAAAAGAAAAGTTGTATAGCCTAGTAACCGGGAGTGGGTTACTATAATTGAGTGTATCTATTTGGATGGTGTTCTACCTCCAACAATCATTTTTAAAGCTAAGGTTTTTATATCTACTTGGTGCAGTATTGTCCTAGATAACTGGTGCTTTAAGGTCAGTAATAATAGATAGACTACTAATCAAATTGGTATTTTATAGCTTGAAAATTCCTTTATCCTATACGTTAAGAAGCGTCAATATAGTGCCTGGTCTCTCCTAGTCATGGATAGCTATAGGAGTTATCTTACCCCTTAATTTAATGCTCTATGTATAGAAAGTAATATTGTGCCAATCTGTATACTATCTTATTTATTGTATCTATTACAATCTCTTGATATAGGTTGTTTTGGTGTATTAAAGTACTTCTATGGTCAGACTGTATAAGATCTTGCCCGTATGGGCTCTACAGATATTAAAAAGCTCGATTTTCTTTATCTGTACCCTGTAATACATACAGCAATATACACAACCTCTACAATTGCTAGCAGTTTTATGGTATTGGGTATTATTCTATATACGTCTGAGGTAGTACTTTCAAAACTTGAGGTTCATCCCCGTTACCTACACTACCACTATTACGTGGTAGTACTAGTAGTCATGAATTTATACCTCATACACCATCAAAAGCTATCAATTTTCGACGCTAGGCAGCATCAATCAAGTGATTACTAGAGTATCGAGATATTTCACCCAATAGCGATATATATCAGCAATTGGAGCAGACTACCAAAGGTGCACAATTACTTGCTAATCAGCTTGTAATACTGACGACTACATATGAGCGTGTAATGGCAGAGAATGGACGAAAGCAGCGAAAAAAGGCCTTACCTAATAAGCAATTGGTATACGAAGGTGGAATAACTGCCGAAGAGATGCAATTACGTCTACAAATTGAGCATGAGCACCAAATGGCAATACCCCCGGTGCCACGGCGTGCTCCGGCAGCTACAGAGACGACGACTAGGAGGCCTGTACAGCGCTGTACTAATTGCAGAGAGCCAGGGCACAAGCGGAATAGGTGCCCGGTTGTGAATAGTGCTTAGTTTTTGCAATATATTATATGGTGGTTGTGTAATATTCAATATATATCGTTGTAATGTAGGTGGGGTGGCGGCTCGGTGGTGGTGGCGGTTCGGTGGTGAAACACGTTAAGGGTAGTAGGATGAGTTTTACCGGTATATTAAACATTCTGACTACCCTACAGTTAAGCTTACTATACTAGGTCCCTTAGGATAGAGTAAGATACAATGAGATCATGTTTTTCCAAAAGGTTTTTAGATGGTGTAATATAGTAAAGTAGTAGTTTTGACATTTTGAGCTTAGAAAGTGACAGCAACCATCCAAATCTTTCTACGCTCAACAAGGCAGTTTGTTCTCTGAAAACATCTACTTCTGTAATAAGATAACAGGCTTCACATATCAGCAGCTGAGACGGTGGGAAAATGTCTTCAGCAACATCAAATGGAGATCATAGAGCTTTTTCGCCCTTTCAATAGGCGACAGAGACAATAAAGATGGGGAAAGAGAGCTTTTTCGTCTTTGGTCGGTTGATAGATTTTCTCCAAAAAGCTTTTGGGCAGTAACCTGGGCTTTAGGACGTCATCCCCTGCGTAGGTCGCTGGATATGAACGAGATTCGAAGCTGGAGTGGAAACAAAATGTCTTTAATGAAGATTCTCCTTGCACTTGCGCCTCTTATTCGAAGCTGAGACAAATACTGATCTTCTGCAAAGACATTGGGCCAAAGCTTCCTGCTCATCAATGTATCGAATAATGCTGCAGTTACTCAATAAGTCCAGTATTGTAGAAGGGAAGTTTCGGAAATCAAAATCAGGCAGAGAGGAAAGAGACACCTTTAATTCTCGTGGGTCGATCAACCGCAAGGGATAGCTCGTGCCGAGGGATACAATCTTGCTCTGACTGTAAATAGCCCACCAGATTCGTTTTCGTAGACCATCATTCTAAATGCTTCCAGCATCAGCAAGGTCTTCACAGTGGAGCCCATGTTTGAAGGCGAGAGAAAGACTAGACTCAATCCAACGCAATGATTTTTTGTGGCACTTGCTTTTTTGATGACAATTCGATATCATGGTCAAAGCCTGAATCACAATGAAGGGGTCTTGCTGGCAATCAAAGTCATAAAACAGCTGGATCAGAATGGTCAGGTGGAACAGGTATCTATCGAGCTCTAAAGGGGCACCCACTCGGGCTTTATCAAAAGTAATAATAATAATAATCATGTGCCTCGCCGCGGCTTGTGAAACCAGCTGCTTCTAAATCAAGAATATCGATAAATGCAACTCCAGAGAACAGAATGCATTGGAAGGGTAGCCGGCTTATAGCAGTCGGCGGGAGAAGCTCCCCAAAAGCTCATGGAGATTTACAATTGGCATATAACCATAAGCTAATTGTAGATATGCCGTAAGCAGCTGTCGTAGCAGATCGGGCGGGGGGACTTCAAAGGCACCCTTTCTGTTGAGATAAGACAGCTCGGTGTTTTGCAGGTTGCTTGGCACGGCCTTGAAACAGGGAAACAAAGGCTCGGATCTATCAAATATGTCACTTTTTTGGTCAAAAACTGTCGAGCTGGATTTTTGCCATGTTACGATGCAATTCGTATTCACATCGGAATTCGCTCGATAGGCTAATTTTCAAGAACAATCAGTTCTGCCAAGCCAATGTGCAGTGCGCAGGTGGATGCGACGCCCAAATCGGAAAAGTAAAAAATGGCCATTTTACTCACAAGACCTCGAGCTGTCCAAACTATTGCTTGGGTTTTCACCTCTCACCAGTGGCTCCGCAGTTTCACATTTTTTAACAAATCTATACCTAGAAATTTTCCTTTATGTCAATACATATGAATGTCCCGCTTGAATGGCCATTCTTACCGTCTTCTCCGATATTAGGGTACAGAGCATTTTGTCCCATCCATCCGACAATTTGTGCAAGGCGGATCGCGAAAAGAAACATCACATCGAACTTTTCTTTCCTGGCAGACCTTGCAGACATAGGATGCTCTCTGCTTTCTTCGCGTGTAAATGGACGTCCCCAAGAGCGAGGTCGTGTTGGTTTCGCCGATTTCACACAGCTTTCTTACAACTACCAGAATGGAGTAAGATACGGAAATATTGGGAGGACAGGGATTTGGGGTCCAACTCAAGGATAGGTGGTTTCCTGAGTAAATATGCTCCGGACCATGTTGGGGGGGGCTTCTAGTACCCAGGTGTGGGATGGGCGGATGGCGGTCCCAGGTGGAATTAGGGGCGGAGGTAGCTAGGTAGTACTAGTCTACCTAGTCTGAGGGGGAAATTGACCAGGTGCAAAGGTAGTACCCTAATAGAGTTCTCATTCTTTGTGTTTGACCAGTTCGACGTTTATCTTGAACAGAGCACCTGCTCGTGTTGGTCTGACAAATATTTTTCAAATCACTAGATCCGAGTCCAATTAAGTCTCCCAAGACAAAGCCAGGCGCCCCCTGGGTGTCAAGGTACAGATAATTATTGGCAACCAACTTGAACATTCGGTCCACTCGCCATATCAGAATAGTAATTTAGGACAGGGCAATGTGAACATTCCAGAGATGGGCAGCCACACTTGGCTGCGCCAAGCCTCACCTCCCTCGAGCTTCAGACCGAAAATACCTAGGTATGTTTATCAACCATGGTATCGCAATGCGGAAGCATTATTACTAATATCTCGCCTTGATTGCCGACTTCCGGGGACGGCGAGGTACAGCACGTGGACGGTAACTCCGGTGTCCCCGGCCTATGCCGGCCAGTGTTTTGGACAATAGAGGATCACTGGGAACGTATAGTTGGTCTCAATGACTCCCTGATGCCTTTTTTGCTTGAGGAGCCAGGTCTTAATTGGGAATTCGGTGGATCAATTTTGGAAATATCATCTGCTTTGAATCTGCCAGTGATTTTTCATGCCCAGGTGCTATATAAATTCGGGCGAAAATAGTGCATACCCGGGCCCGGGGTGATAATAGTACCAGTAGGGTGTTCCAACGTCGATTGTCCCCAGATGGAACGTAAAGGCGTAGTACTAGAGTTAGAATGTCGTTAACGTCATACTAGTAGTACTACTCGGATAGCGGCAGCTTTGATATATCCGGGCGTTAAATCCGCACTCCGAACCAATTGGGCCGGAAGGCTCTGCGCATAAGTGCTTTTAAGATATTCTCCTCCCTCCTGGGCTCACAAAATTCCAGCCTGAGTCGCCTCCAAGGCTTTTGTCAATTTTCACCGTTGCAAGATATATTTCTCGTTTTTAAGAATACGATGGCTTCTTCAACCGACCGGATCCTCACCGAGGCACGGATCAAATCCCTCCTTGTGCGTGAGCGCTATTACAGGGATACTTGTCAGTGGAAAAATCTACGGGATTCCTACCACCCCGATGCTTCGAAAACACGTATCGACATCACTTGGTAAGATTTTTTTCATAATCAACTATTTTTGCCATGATCCTGAGATGGCTTCCAGGTTCCAGGGAGACATCGATGGATTCGTCGCCGGATCCGAAGGCATGGTCAGTGGTGGTACAAATGCCATTCATACAATATGCCCCGTGGAGATCCATCTCAACGGCAAAAAGGCTCTCACCGAATCAACAGGCTCAATTTCAATCCGCCTTCAACATGGCGGGGAGCTTTTTGAGTGCATATCTTACAATCGATTTATCTCCCGGCTCGAATTTGTCGGGGAGGAATGGAAGCTACTGTCCTTGGAGGCAATCTATATCCGCGACTTCATTACCCCTGTAATCCCGGGAAGAACAGCCAGCTTCGACCTCCCCGAAAATACCAGGGAAAGCTACAAATGTATATCTTGGGTTCTGGCGCAAAAGGGATTTACTATCAAGCAGGATCTGCCCGGAGCCGATGACCCCACTTGCTGTGAACGATTCATGCAGGCCAATTTCATGTGGTTAAGTAAATAAAGCTTAGGTAGAACTTGAAAAGGGTGATTTCTATTTATGAGATACTCTATATACTTAAATGGATTTGACTTAAAACTGCCGGTACGGGCTGTTGGAGTTCCCGAATGCCGATATTTTCCCTCTAGTTCAGAGCTTAGCCCGGAGAATTGCTGCTTTTGGTCGGCCCGAGCGGAGCCGGCCAATCTTTTCAAGGTAATCTATACAAGCCCTGGTGCCCAGGTGCTTGGAACAAAAAGTGTGCGGCCCACATAGTACACCGCGGGTCCTCGAGTCTGACCCAGTCTAGACAATTGCCGACCTTTCATATAATGTCATAAATGCGAAAATGTTTCCGGGATAAGTCCGTACGGACTTGACAATGCCAAATCCCAGTTCCTCGTCACTGCAGGTCCTGGCGCTATGCCAACCCAGCCTACGTTCAAACACTCTCATACCTAGGTATTAACTACTTGTCCGCAACTACGACTACCTACCCGCACTCACTACAAGACCCCCGTGCACAGTGACCAATACACAGCTATCGGAGCCCGACAAACATTATGATACCGGGCCTCCAACGCCGCATGATGGGGATGGAAGCAGGAGCACCCACGGGCGGGGGCAGGGAGGCGTGGCGGCGGCGGCGTACACGCATGTAAGACAGCATGCGCAAGACAGACAACTGACAACTGGCGAGTTTACGAGGACATATTGGTGCAAACGAGTGCAATAGGATGACATGTACGGCATTTTCTGTATATAAATCACCTCTGTGGCGAGCTGTGGCGGCCGTCAGCGACACCGGAAGAGCCCTTCAGGAGCTGATGAACGGTGTATAATGCAACTCTCTCTCTCTCACACTTGTCCGCAACGCTGGTTTGGGGAATATAAACGTCTCGATAGGCTGGAGTGCTAAATACGTGAGTTTGAGGAAGCGGGAATGAATCGCTAGATACTACCTTATCGCCATTTGATTATCCGGCTTTCAGCTATAGAGAAATCGATTGAAAACATCCCAACCTGTAAGAATCTGGTAAAAATAGGTATAAGAATTGACACGATGGCCACATGAACAGTTCGTAACCCACCTGGACTCATGAAAGTTCCGTTTTGAAGGGACCATGTTTCAAAATTCTCAGAACTCAAAGTACAACATACAAAATATAAGGTGAACGGTTTATCATTAGTTCTTTTCAACGCAAGTTTATCAACGGTGCTTCACCAATTTAGGGCCATTTTGCTAGAGGAACAGCCGAGAGTGCAGTCCTAATTGGATCCGCACCCGCTGTGAAGGAGGCTCAAACTTGTTTAGAGTTGACATATTCCATACATCGATCCTTTTGAAAGGAAAAGTAAACCTTCCAAGGTTCTTCATTTCCCACCTGACGAAGTTTCATGATCGTAAAACAGAAACTCATCAAGTGCAAGACCTGCAGGGTCCATTGGAAGAGACAAGGCTTTCTGGGTGATCATCACCTCCAGAAGTGCCGGGCCAGGACTTTCCAGCAGCCACTTCAGCTTTTCATCCACCTCAGAGGCACTCAAACACCGTTCAGCCTGTACACCCATGGCTCGAGATGCTTCGACAAGGTCCGGATTGCGGTGATGGCTGTGACAAAAGCGATCCTTATAATATACTGACTGTAGATGTGTGACCATATGCGAGGACTCGAATATTGAAATACTGTAAGTATTTTGACGAAGAGTAACAAAACTGAGGAAAAAAGAAGAGAGAGAGAGCTCTCATTGCAACTATCGTACATGAACTGGTGCCTGCGCACGTGACCCGAAGGTCAATATGATCAGGTGACGTCCTGGTTCGTCACACCATACCCTGTTCCTCATTGTTGAGGACGATCGTCTTCACGCCGATATTGAATTGGTTTGCTGTAGATAACTCGCTTAGAACCATATTGAACGAGGCATCGCCATCAATATCGATCACAAGCGCATCTGGCCGCGCTAACTGGGCACCGATGGCTGCAGGAAGTCCGTACCCCATTGTCCCCAGGCCCCCTGAGGTGATCGTCGTTCGAGGGTGTTGCCATCGAAAATTACTGGAGGCACAGGATAGGGATACTCGCAGAGAGACTGAGGATGGTGGTGACATGAAGATGCTATGGAGAGAAGCTATCTACATGGCAGGCACGGTGGGCACTGGCTGACTCAGCAACCTGGGGCCTGAGCCCCTAGGCCTCAGTAAAAAAGAATGTTGTGCGGTCCACATCTGATGTTGACCAACGCCAGTGGTGATGGTCGTGCGATCTTTTACCGGATGGACAAGTTCGTTCAGCCGTTCGATAAAGGCCTGTGGCTGGACTAGCCCATCAGTATTATCTTTCGGATATAATGACCACGCATAACGGTTCTTCCACTGGGAAATCTGATCAAGCCATTCTGGACGCTCCGTATCTTTGATAAAAGGCATCAGTATTTCAACTTTAGCTGCACAGTCTCCCACCACAGCTTCTGTCGCCTCTACGATTTTGTTGATATTTTTAGGCGTGATTTCAAAGTGAAGAATTCCACCACGGCCTTGATCAGCGGCCTCTTTGGTCACACGATGATCAAATCGGCTTCCTGCACAGCCTTGTTCGCAGATTCCGATCCGTGCAGTCCTAAAATGTGTAATGCTTTAGGGTCTTCTTCATCGAATGGCCCTAGCCCCTGAAGACTTGTTGTTACTGGAATAGAAGCCTTTTCAGCTAGCTCTTTTAGAAGTTGTGGCCCTCTTCGACTGGCTAGTATTCCTTGATCAACGTATAAAACTGGCCTTTGTGCGATATTGATCAACTCAGCTGCGCGTTTAATGGTGGATATCAATTTTGTTGAGGACGTTAAGAGTATTCGAAACTGAAGGGAGCATATCGGATCTCTGAATATGTTTTCTCAGAATACCAGCAGTGATGTCTATGGGTAATTCAACCAGAATTGGCCCCGGACGACCACTTGTTGCGATATCAAATGCTTGTTTGATGCACCTAGGTAGCTGGGCGATTTCCCTCATGGCAACATTCCATTTTGTACATGGCATTGACATTCCAAGAATATCTGCCTCCTGAAAACCATCCAGGCCAATAGAGCTTGTGGCGACTTGTCCGGAAAAGACCACCAGAGGCGTTCCATCTGCCAAAGCGTCCGTTATAGGCGTAATCAAAGCCATTCAAGCTTTTCGAACATTACTCGTGAACTGAGAGAGAAGACGGGGCATTCTAGCCAAAAGTCTCCGAAGCGGAGTTCCTCCCATGACAAAGGAGACTTGAGTCAGTTATTTGAGTTACTTGCTGTTTCACTCGTCTGTGAAGAGTAGAGGCGCCACTAGCTTTCAAAGGCTAACAGGATACCCCGGAATCTTTAAAGAGAACACATATGGCCGCGAACCTATATCGGGTCGTGTAAAGCATCGATAGACTTTTCTGGTTCCATGAGCCGAATTGAATCGGTAACTTACTCATAGTACACACGCTGCGGGGCGGTTCTTTTGACAACGCCCTCGGCAAGCGTCGTCATCTTTTCATGTCTTACTCCAAGGCTGGCTTGCGTCGGGGTATTTCAATTGAAAACTCATACAAACTTGGAAAATACGGGATGTTATTGTGTTTTTGGATTCATCAAGCTACTATATAGAAGTCAAAAGATGTCTATCAAAACATCTGCATCTAGAGAGACAAATTGTCTTTTTGAGCCATGCGCGGAAACTGGGCTTCTCTTAAATATGATCCAAATATTTACAAGGGAAGTCGCAAAAAGAAGATTCCTCCGACTACTAGCACTCAGCTTTCATGAGTGGCCATGCGACTTGCGGAGTTGGACTAACAACCTGATATTTGCATATTCTGGGCCCCGACTGTTGTTCTATGATTTTCATCCGAGCCACAAACTCCGTGTTTATCTGTGCTCCATCCAGTGTCTCCACCTTCAAATCTCCGATTAAAAAGAGATCAGTACCATCCGCGTCATTTGTATATGTCTTCAATATACTATGCTGTCGACTCTTCACCGTCGTCCAGGCACCCTTTCTGGATTGTGATATTTCTGAACCCGGGCTTTAGTGAACGAGATTGAGAAAAAGCTCCGGAAATGTGATCTTACCGGCAGCCCCTTGGAACATGGCATTCGCCGTCACCATCAAGCCATCCTGGGTAAAGATCTCATCCGCTATGGTCTGCCCTACTTCTTCCGAGTTGGTGTCTACCAAAGCGAAGAAGCGGTGTACAAGTTGTTTCACCTCCGGTGAAGGCTGAAGAATTGGCCACATCGCTGAATTGATTGAATAGCCCGAAGATGTTGTTTGAATGACCAAACGGGACTGTAAGGCGAGGCAGTCCGAGGGAGCGAAAACTAATTCTTAAATACTAGACTCGGCTGATCGCTCAGTCAGCCTAACTCCTTCCCTCTACTCGGAATGAAACCGAACCGCAGGGATTAGATCCTTTGGTTTAAAAGGGCAAAGCCAATCGTAAGTGTTACGCGCAACCTTTTCACAGTCCCTGAGCCAAAAAGAAATTCAATCATCGTGTTATCCGCAAAAGACTATCCGTAAAATGAGGATATTGTCCGACTCCGATCTCGGCCTATTCATGCCACGCTTTGCCGTTTTCTTTCGGAAGTACTGGTCACTTCAATTGCATTCTACGGACTGTTGAAAACAATAGTTAAGCACTATGAAAATGGGAGTAACCGCTCGGAACGCGTTCTTCCCGGCCGGAGATTGCCAATCCTCAAGCTCTCTGAAATGAGGTTATCCGTTTCTAACCGAAAGGTAGATCATTTGTTAGGAGACTTGGAGTATGAAATGCAAATCGAACCATGGAATATTGATCGACTCATATACTCGATTCAATTGAGTCTTTCTCGTAGCTGAGCCAATATCGATAAAAATGACTGCTCGTCACGTATCCTCTGTTGGATTATCAGTTCTCAAGACGCGCTACTATGGAACAGCTGCCAAACCGCGTCGCCTCAACGTCCCGATCAACTTTAAAACTACACCGTTGCTGCATCATTCTCCAAGTACACTCCAGAACAATGGGATTCCAGGTGAAGGGCCGTTTAAGCGACTTAATCTTTGCCAGGCAGTGAATTCTTCCTTAGCGACCGCACTGCGTTCATCCAGAGATGTCCTTTGCTTCGGTGAGGATGTTGCTTTTGGAGGGGTCTTTCGCTGCACAAGTGGGCTTCAAAACGAGTTTGGACCCGAGCGAGTCTTCAATACCCCTTTGACGGAGCAAGGCATTGTCGGAGCCGCTATTGGTGCGGCGGCGGAAGGACGGAAGCCAGTTGTCGAGATCCAGTTCGCCGATTATGTCTTCCCTGCATTTGATCAGATCGTCAATGAAGCCAGCAAATTCCGCTACCGAGAGGGTGCGACCGGAAGCAACCTTGGAGGAATGGTCATCAGAATGCCCTGCGGAGGTGTCGGTCATGGTGCATTGTAAGTCTCTCATATATCTTTTAGCACGTAAATCTGGACTAGCTGAAGTCTAATATTAATTTCTCACGATGCGTACTAGGTATCACACTCAATCCCCAGAGAGCCTGTTTTGCCACATTCCAGGATTCAAAGTGGTGATGCCGCGGTCGCCCTCTCAGGCAAAGGGTCTTCTTCTATCTGCGATTCTCGAATCCAAAGACCCTGTGATATTTCTAGAGCCTAAGATCCTCTATCGCGCTGCCGTTGAGGAGGTACCGGAGAGCTCTTACAAACTACCCCTAAGCAAAGCTGAAGTCCTCAAACAAGGCACCGATCTCACAATTATTTCATATGGTCGACCTCTCTATACCTGCCAGGCTGCGATTGAAGCTGCCGAGAAGGATATGCCGGGTGTCTCAATAGAGTTGATCGACTTGCGAACGATATATCCCTGGGACAGAGATACCGTGATTGAAAGTGTCAAGAAAACCGGGCGAGCTATGATTGTTCATGAAAGTATGGTCAATTTTGGCGTTGGTGCAGAGGTTGCGTCGACAATACAGGAAAAGGCATTCTATCATCTGCACGCTCCCATCAAGCGGGTTGCTGGTTGGACGACTCACACTGGACTAATCTGGGAAAAGTATATTCTTCCTGATATTACCAGTAAGTTTCCAAGGTTCCCTGGAACTTGAACAATTTCCAAGTTGTTTCTGATCAGCCAATTAATACGTTGGATTTCTACAGGGGTTTACGATGCCATCGAGGAGACAGTGAAAGTTTGATTATTGATTGGAGAACTATTTCTCCCGAATTGGAAGGAAAAATATCGTGTACCTATGTTGTCGAGATTCTTTCTGAGATTTAGGGAATGGTTGATTTCTTCTTGGTTGATACCCCGTGAAAATTTGACTCGGAGCTTTCAGCATAAGACCGTGAATGAGATTCTCAGGTGGAACATGGCATAGTAGTATTGCATTGGCTCCCCAGGTCATCATGTTGCCCTTTATTATTATTCTCTAAGCGTGCATCTCATTCAAATTCAGATAGCAGACCTAGGTGGAGAATGCTTAGCCACCAGTATCCCCATAGTATACCTAGGTAGTGGGTTAATGCAGTCAATATTAAAACATTAGGTTACAACTTGAAAGATGATTTTGGAATTCAGTGTTCCAGGTGTTCAAGTATGTCAAAGGCTGCTTTGAGCTAGTAGTGATGCCCCCCCCCCCCCAGGCAGTGTCAAATTTAATTAGATTCATGACTGACCCCCCTAGTACAAAAGAATAGCCTAGTACACATTCGCATAAACTTTTCAAATAATCAAAATATGTTTAGAAAATAACACAAAAACAAATAAACTCACTTCTTTAACCCTCAATCTCTCTCTGTGGGACGTTTGATGCTCAAACTGCGATTTCTCTGGCTTTAGTACCTAGGTACCACTAGTATACCTAGGTATCAGTATTTCCGTACTAGGAAAGACCACGAATCCCTTCTTCGTGGTCATTTATATCGTACTCTTCAGGATATTTCATCATCAGCCTGTATAGATCCCCTCTCTGCTCCTTTGCCTCCTCTGTCAGCTCGGCATACACATCATCGAAAATGCCCCTAAGCGCTGGCTTTTTCTCGTTTTCGGCAGCTACCAACTCCCGAAGAACAGCAGCTCTGGTTGTCTTTCGGAATTGCGTTTCCTTCTCGGAATCCCAAAGATCCTTCTTCTCCATCCACACCTTCAGCCGGAAGAGTGGATCGTTGCGAGCCTTCCAAGCCTCAACATCATCTCGATCACGATACGCAAAGCTGTCGTCGCTAGTGCTGTGATGAGATACTCGGTAGCTCATCATTTCAAGGAGAATTGGCCGCCCCCCCACCTTCCAGAGCCTTTCGTCGAGCTTCTTTAGTTGCTTCGTAGACAGCAAATATATCCGTTCCGTCGACTCGAATAGACTCAATACCGTAGCTCATGCCACGCACAGCCACCCCATCTCCGATATATTGCTCACTAGTAGGTGTTGAAATAGCGAATCCGTTATTTCGGCAGATGAAAATGACAGGGCATTCTTTCACGGCAGCTACATTAAGTGCTGCATGAAAATCCCCCTCGCTTGCGGCTCCCTCACCGAAGTAGGTCACCGCAACGTTACCAGGCTTGTCGGGGTTTTCCAGGGCGTCCATTTTTAGCGCGTATGCAGCACCAGTCGCATGTGGGATCTGTGTAGCCAGGGTTGATGCAACGGCATGCTAGAATTCATCATATAGTCAGAGGTCCCGTATTTTATATTGCGGTGAAAGAAGACTTACGATGTTGACCTTGTTCTTACCACTGTAATGCACCGGCATGTTTCGTCCCTTACCAGGATCGTTGCAGTTGGCGGTCAATTGGCTCATGAAATCTTTCAATTCAAAGCCACGCTGGAGGAAAACTCCGGTCTCCCGATATTGGCAAGTGATCACATCTTTAGCGCCCAGTGCGGCTGCGGAGCCAATCATGACAGCCTCTTCTCCGGCGGAGACCTATGACTCGTCAGTGTCAGGAAATCTGAGACAAATTTAAAAATATGTATATTTACCATGTAAAAACTGAGGCGGCCGTGTCTTTGGGCTTCGAACATGATGTTGTCCATAATATTGACTGTTGTTTCAAATAGTTAGAACGAGGTGTCGCAATGAAAACGTTTTTTCCACCCACCAGTTACCATGTTCTTGTACCATTCAAGGACCTGCTCGTCTGTGACATCCGGTGGTGCTCGGCTAGGGTCTGCTACTGAACTATGGGTGTCCATCACATGGTATGTTGCGATCGGGGTGACTTCCGCAGGTTTGAGAAAGTCCATCTTGCTAGTGAGGCGGCTATTAACTGCGCCCGGGAATGGCCTATAATACCTCCAATTAGAGACGACAGATTGAAAGAGATTTAAGATAATCCCTTACGAAGTATGGGGGGGGGCTTGAAGATGTTGTTGATTTTGCGCGCTTGGAAAAGGCCCCAGGGATGCGACTACCTCTCCGCAGACCTTGAGGTCCCCGAAACAAAGGCAGCATGCGCCCACTTATCGCCTTCTTCATAATGCAAAGCTCCGTTGGTCTTTTTTTTCGAATTTGAGAAAGGTAATATGCGAAGGAGAAAGAGTTTCGTCTTCAAACTTGTTGATAGGATTCGGATACTCTAGAGTAATGTGCCTCATAGCTAGGCAACTTCCGGACAAACTAGAGACAAGCCGAGCGACCAAAAGATAGTCAAGCGGTTATCATCGGCTGTATATCTAAAAACAACCGAAGATGTGGTTTGGTTCGGATGGTTTACAGGCGCGTCTATTACGGGGTATGCAAACGGTAGAAAACCTGGGGACCGAATCCATCGGGTTAGCCTCCGAGTTCGGAAGGTACAGGATCGGCTTCTAGATTGTGGTCACAATTATGATCCTATTCTTTCCTCGCTTATTCAAGGAGCAAGTTTCGATATCCGATATATGTACTCCATAGATAGTCGAATTTTATGTTTGCTGCTCTCCTTCTCCGTATTTTTCTACGTATTTCTTGATTCCCCATGTATTGAAGATACATCTTCCAAGGCTCGCTCTTTCACTGATCCAATAATCTTTTTAACAAACCAACAAAGACCCGAGGAGATGCGACTCGTCGTTCTTCAACACTCGGTGCACCCGGTGAACTTACCAAGGTGGCATCTTGCAGTGCCTCGTAGTGTTTGTGCCCGGGTGCCGAGGAGTGACTTCCATACAACGCTTTCACGAAAACAAATTAAGCCATATCTCCTCGCCGATATTGGTGAAGGTCAGTTACGCAAGTGGCCAAATATAGAGGACAATTTTTGATCAAATTAGGAATTGCGGAGTGCCGAATTGTTCAATGGTTTGTCAAACCAGGAGACCGAGTCAGTCAGTTTGATGCCATTTGTGAGGTTCAGTCCGATAAGGCATCCGTTGAGGTATATAGAACACTCTTTGATCAGCCTTGTGTGCATTCGCTGACCGCAAGAACTTGAAGATTACATCTCGGTATGACGGAGTCATTGCCAGTCTCCATCACCAGGCAGATCAGATGGCCGAAGTGGGAAAGGTAATTGTTTTGAACATTCGGAAGTCAACGTTTTGAATTTACTGATTGCAATTAGCCTCTTCTCGATATTGATGTTGAAGAAGATCCATTTAATACAGGCCAGGCACCCATACAGTCAATGCCTGAGGATACTGCTTTTCAAGATACGAGCTCTGCGATTGCCAGAGAAGCGGGATCCCAAGCAAATATGAATAAGCTGCGCAATATGCAAGACAAAAATCATGATACCAAGGCAAAGAACTCTGGGCTTATTGTTCCGGCAGTCAGAGTTATGTTAAAGCAACACAATATTGATATCAAAGATGTCACAGGGAGTGGAAATGGTGGGAGAGTGAGAAAGGAGGATGTTCAAATGTATTTGGATTCAAGAAATGCAGCTCCGAATCCTGTATCTTCAAAGCCCGCAGCCCAGGTCGACGCATCAGTGGAAGACAAAGTTGTGCCTTTGACACCGATTGAGAATCATATGTTCAAGGTCATGACTGGTGCTCTCAGTATTCCACACTTTGGGTATAGCCATTCTGTCGACTTAACTTCTCTGACAAGTCTGCGCCGCGACTTCAACAAGGAACTGGATGTCTCCAATGGGATGCACAGATACGGTGTTTCAAAGTTAACCGCGCTTCCATTCATTTTGAAGGCTCTTTCACGGGCCTTTCTGCAACACCCTAGATTGAATGCACATCTTGAAACAGAAACGGCTCCGCAAAACCCCCAGTTGATTGTGAAAGCATCTCATAATTTCGGTGTCGCCATGGACACGCCCGGTGGTCTTCTGGTGCCAGTTGTCAAAGATGTTCAAAACAGATCTATTCTTTCCATCGCAGCTGAATTGAAGCGACTGAGTACACTGGCAAAAGAAGGTCGTCTGACTCCGTCAGACATCAGTGGAGCTACCTTCACTGTGAGTAATATTGGAAGCATTGGGGGCTATGTTGTGAATCCTGTCATTTTACCTCCGACTGTTGGCATTGTTGCATTGGGCAAGAGCGAAGAAGTTCCGGTCTTCACAAAAGACAATAAAAAAGGTGACACATCGATTACGAAGCGTGAGAGAGCTGTTATCAGCTGGAGTGCGGACCATCGAGTTCTTGACGGTGCTTCTGTCGCACGATGTGCCCAGATGGTGAGCAGTGTCTTGGAGAACATCGAACCTATCAGTATTGGATTGCGCTAGATGATTTTTATTTTGTCGGTTGTTGGGCCACAACCATTATCTGATACTATGTATACTATTATCTTGTGTACTCTTATCTTGTGATCGAGGCGAAAAATCAAAGCCTAATGATATAAACACCAACCTCCTCTTTGACCGTTCTTATCACATTTTCACGTAGAAATACGATTGTGCATATTTTCGAAGAAAAATAAATGCGTCATTGTACCAACAAAATGACTTGTGCTGAGGCTTGAGGGTTCAGGCTGCTTGAGGTTAGTCATGCCGTCCCCACTGTGTAACTGGTAGATAGCCTCAGGTTCATGCCTCTCATAAATTTCATCATTCATCCCTCCTAGTCAGCAACTTGAAATGGCCAGCATGGCCAGATGGGTGAGACTCAAATTTTTAAACTACATAGTCTACAGGATTATTGCCTCCGAGGTTTCCTGCGCGTACTGCAGATCTTGTCAAATTTTCCACCGCCTCAAGTACATAGTACTTCCATCGTGGATATATAACAAACACCCGAACAAAAACGGAGTAGCGCAAAACTTTGGAATTTTCACAGTTCCGATTGGCTCTCGGTGCAACGTTATGGCTTTCCATTGGTGCACATATGCGGGAATTTTGTGAAATTCTACATTTTATTCCGTGGGGGGCAATGTATTCTTCACTCATACAGAGCCGACATGTTTAATGTATGAATGCATAAACTCGATCATATAAGATTTCAGAAGTAACCCGCTCGGAACTTGGCCTGCACATAGATATCAGAGTGAACGAAAAAAACGTACAATACTCCAAACCAGCATCAGCATCATTATGTCGGACCTTTCAATACTTCACCCCAGCGGGTTAGCCCACGTCGTTTTCAGAACGGCCAACATTAAAGTCATGGTGGAATTCTGGGCTACCTTCCTGGGCGCGGAGCGAGTGTTCGAAAACGAATTCATTGCTTTCCTCCGTTATGACGAGGAACATCACCGCATCGCCATCATCAACGATGAGAGCACGGGCCCTCACTCGGCCACTGCTGCGGGAATGCACCATGTGTCCTTTACCTACGCGACACTCCGGGGTCTCCTCAAAGCCTGGGAGCTAAGAGGGAAACTTGATATCAAGCCAACCTGGTGTGTCAACCATGGCCCTACGACTAGCATCTATTATAAAGACCCCGATGGGAACTCGATTGAGACTCAGGTCGATAATTTCAACACGGTCGAGGAGGCGAATGAATTCATGACTTCCAAATTCTTCCGGGAAAATCCTATCGGGACAGATATTGATGCGGATGAACTCCTTTGCCAGCTAGAGGCCGGTCTGGATGAAAGGGTCTTGAAAAGACGGGTTGAGATTGGCGTGCGACACGATATTCCTGTGGCAGTTTGATTCAAATGTTGTGGGGAGAGAGAGAAAACACAAGGCTTGGGTATATTAGTTTTCGTCAGACCTCGATAGTGAAACATGAATCCATGTTATTTTCTATGATACGCATTGCATCTAGTTGACATACCCTACCTACTGTATTCTGCCCTGAAAATAATTGTGTTCTGGAGTACACATGTTTTCTTCCAAGGTTTTCAAACGTTTCTTTCTGCTTGTTGCCGATAGTGACCTTCAGGGAGTGGTTCCGTAGAACGATAAGCCCTTACTATCTCTTGTCTCCACTCAGCCGATTCCTTCGACATGGAAGCAGAAAATATTTCAACCTGCTTCCCATTTAGCTGAAGCAGTTCAACGTTCGAACACAAGATCGAACATCACCCCGACACTAGCTCGTCCCATGACAATGACCAGATATCCGAGGTTGCAGGATTCAGTATTCGCCGTAAACTGCGTTTCCCCTCACATGGATATACGTTCGGAGGAAGGGCCAACCCCGACACACTCCCCGGAGTCCCAGATTTCCCCGCATCGTGTATTTTCCCGCCCCAAAGAGGAAATAAAGGGGCTTTTCGCAGTGGACTTCGACGCGACGTCAAGTCAACTCTATAATCCCATATTCATGTCTCTCTCCGTCTTTCAAGGCAGTTCTGATTTTTAAAATATTTCCAGAAGTGAATTATCAGACGATTACGGTATTCAATTTTCAACCCTCTCATTTCTGCCACCATGCTCGAAGAAATCGAAATCCCAGTTGTCATCGTCGGTGGCGGGGGTTGTGGGTTGACTCTCTCATGCTTCCTATCGAACTATGGGGTTAAACACGTCCTTCTTGAGAAACATACAGGGACCTCGATCATTCCTAAGGCACACTATCTGAATCAGCGCACCATGGAAACGCTTCGCAATCATGATATGGTGGAAGAGATCCTGCAGAAGACTTGCCCTCCTCGACACATGAGTCAAGTTGCATGGCAGACCTCGCTAGGCGGTTCCGGTCCATTTGATCGCCAGGTTATCTCTAAATTTGAATGCTTCGGCGGACATGATGGAACCGAATTCGCGGAATCGTACAAGTAGGACCACTTCCACGGTGAATAGTAGAAGCTATTGAAGCTGACCATATTATATAGACGCGACGCCCCACTCCGCTCTGGAAATCTTCCGCTATTCCGGTTGGAGCCGATATTAAAGAAGATCGCGGAGCAGAGAAACCCTGGCAAAGTTTTATTCGGTCATCAATTGGTGGATTTCACCGATGAGGGCTCCTCCATCATTGCCACGGCATCTGACGAAGCCGCGATCGAAAGAACATACCGATGCAAATATATTATTGCTGCAGATGGAGGCCGGACTATTGGGCCCAAGCTCGGCGTCAAAATGGAAGGGTTGACCAACATCTCTGATATGGTTTCTGTGCACTTCAGTGCTGACCTCTCCGAGTATTGGGACGACCGCTACTTTGCTTGCCACTTCATCAATGGCGAGTGCAGCACCGTGTTCGAGAGCGGCGCAATTGTTCCTATGGGTCCAAACTGGGGCAAGCATTCTAAGGAATGGGTATTCCATTGCGGATTTGCGATGGATGACCAGAATCGACACAACGATTCGGCATTGATTCCGCGTATTCGCCAGCTGCTGAAGATCCCTGACCTTGAAATGGAAGTTCATAAAATCAGTCACTGGGCCATCGAGAAAGTCCTCGCGGACAAGTATAGGGTTGGTCGAGTCTTTCTTGCCGGGGACGCCGGCAACCGCCGTCCGCCTACGACTGGTTTAGGACTCAATACTGCGATCGAGGATTCTCTGAATATCGCCTGGAAGCTAGCGATGGTCCTCAAAGGACAAGCCAGCGAATCCATCCTAGACAGCTATGAGCCGGAAAGACGCGCCGTCGGTGAGATCAACTGCGATTGGGGACTATTCACGTTCAGCAACTCCGCTGTCATTAACACTGCCCTTGGACTCATCCCGGGAGAAAGAGAAGCAAACCAAGTCCGCTTCCACTCTCTCTTTGAAGATACCGATAAAGGCCGTAGCTTCCGGGCTCAAGTTTCACGCATCATCGATTCCCAAGCCATTGAATTTTGTGCACATGGAATCGAGCTGGGTTTTAGATACCCCATGGGGCTTCTTCTGCATGACGGAAGCCCCCCGACAGCTCGGGATCCTTTGGGTCTGAGATATGACCCCACCACACAGCCTGGTCATCGTCTCCCTCATGCCTGGATCGAGGTAGGAAAACTTGTTATCTCTACGCATGACTTGGTATCGAATAAGCCAGGCTTCGCCTTAATTACGGACAGTGAAGGCGGCGATTGGGAAATTGCAGCTCGTAATATCTCCAAGCACCATGGGATTGAAGTTGTTACGGCTCGGATTGGTGACAATGCCTTTTACCGGGACTATGATGACCGATGGAATGCCTTGAAAGGCATACAGGCAGGCGGAGCTATCCTTATTCGACCCGACAACATGATTGCCTGGAGATCGATCTACAAGAGCCGTCTTCAGGGTAAGGAGTTGGAAGTTGCGATGGACCAGTTGTTGCTAGGAGGTACTGGGGAGCAATCTAAAATGAAGCTCTGAGCCCAGGTATCGCTCGGGCGTATCAATTGAAATCATATACCACATATAGTTATTCGGATATTTTATTTCTCCGAAATGGAAAATGTCTTCTTTGATGTTAGTTTCGTTTTCGGAATTGGTACTATCACTATGTACTGCTTTTGAGTACCCTAAATCGATACGTGGATTCTTTTTCAGCTCCTCAGCGCTGCCTCCAGATCAAAGGAACATGACACTCTTTTCTGTGAAGTCTTGGTACCGCTGGCTTTTTGTGCACTTTGATTTGTTGGTGTGAATGCACTGAAACAGTTATCTACCCCTCCTTCGTGTTCTTTTTCTTCACTCTACCTAGCTTCACATGTGTCCATTCAAAGAATACTTGAAAAGATATCTGAGATCTGTGAGCCGTCAGGCTCAAAACATCACTTGAAAGCGAAGCAGACTACTACGCCCGGCCATCTTCAAGTTCTGATGTGAAACACCACGAACACGCCGTATCGCGCATGGTATGCACCGAATACGAGCTCTGGGGACAAGATTCGAAAGACACAATTATTATCCTCAGGGTTTTTTTGATCGCAATATCAAGGTTTGAACTAAACCTAACCCGTTCGGAAGCACTTTTGCGGGGATTGTGGGTGATATGGCCAGTTCGGGCACCTACTAGGTATTTTGCTCAAGCGGAAGTTCCTTCTGTACATTTCGGTATGTAGTATACATAATGAGTTCTTGACCATCGCCTGTAAATTGAGCAAGCCCTTCATTTGCAGAACTTGAATTCACCCAAATGAATTCCAGCCCCAAGGCTGAAGGCCGCGTTCCTCATTTAGATTTCTCTGAGATTCAGACCGACGATTTATATCACAGAGACATTCGAGATGATAAAGGCGTTTTTTTGGACCCCGATTTAGACAAAACGAAGGGATTGAAAGTCACAGCAGACCAACATGTCGTCCTGGTTCTCCAACCGTCAGATGATCCGCGGGATCCGTTGAGATGGAGTTTTGGCAAGAAACATACCGTCCTTGCAGTCGTGATTGTGTGTTCTTTTCTACCAGATTATGGTAGTGTCACTGGTGCTGCAACCCTGATTTTGCAAGCGAAGTAAGCTCACTACCCCCAATAGCTCTTCATGTCGAATTTGAACGAGGTAGTAATTGACACATGAATTACCAAGGGAATATGAGATCTCACCCGATGTGGTCAACCATTCGCAATCCGGGAACCAATTCATGGTCGGCGCGGGAGGGATCATTTCTGTTATGTTGTCTGCACATTTCGGTCGTCTACCGGTGCTTTTCTGATTTATGGTCACTGCTTTTGCTACAGCTGCTGGCCAAGCGGGCTCGCGTGGCTTCATAGGGTTTTTCATCCCGCGAGTCATCAACGGGTTCTTCACAGGAGTCGCTCAAGGAGTCAGTTCTATATATGCCATTTCCATCCCTCATCGATACCTAGTAGTTAGCTGGCTGACCTATTTTATACCCCTTCTCTAGGGGGGGCTTGATGTTCATCAAGGACTTGTTCTTCCTTCACGAGCAAGCGTAAGTTGATTCTTGAACTATAAACCATCGCATTCCACTAATCGATCAATTTTAGGCGCAAGATCAACCTTTAGCAGTCTTGTGTGATTCTCTCTCCTTTCCTGGGCCCTCTTCTCGCATCATTCATGACTATCAGTCTACTGTAGCGTTGGCCGTTTTGGATATACACGATCTTGACAGGCCTTGCGCTAGTGGGAGTGATCTTCTTCGGCGAGGAAACATTCTACAACCGCCAAATTCTACCATCGGAGCAGACAGTTCGTGGATCCCGATCGCTGCGGCTCATCGGCGTTGAACAATGGCGATCCCGCTCACAGAGGAACACATTTATCGAAGCTGTTTCACGGTCTTTTGCTGTTCTTAGGAAACCAGTTATCCTTCTTACAAACCTCTACTACGTCTGTATTTTTGCATGGCTCGTCGCTATCAACGCGACGCTTCCCATAGCAAGTGTGGATTGCGGAGCAGCGCCCTGCTAGTATATAACTACTAGTAGTATTGCACAGGTGTACTAGTAGATATCTCGAAGTCTAGAGGACAATAAGTGGTACGCCCGGGCGTTAACATCGAGAGAAAACTACCGTGACATTGACCGGCTTTCTACTCGCGAGGTGGTACCTAGTAGGAGTAGTATTCATAATGGCCCCTGTTAGTACCTAGGTATATTATTCTTAGGTACTACTAGTAGTATTTAGTACCTTAAGGCACTCCGGGGCTGGCATCATGATACATGTAATCTTTTTGGCAGTGCCTGTATCCTACTACATTCAGAGAAAAAGTTGACCTCGGAATTGTATTGGATTTAAGACTATTCGTAGTGAACCTTGTTAACCAGGGTCCCTATTTTCTCAATATAAACTCTAATGACATCTCCATCTCCAAGGACAATTCGAGGCGACCGGAAGTATCCAATTCCCGGCGGTGTCCCTGTTAAAATAATCGTTCCAGGTTCAAGGGTAGTCCCTTGCGACAAATAGGCCACGAGTTCGGACACTCCGAAAATTAGATCACTGGTATGACCATCTTGAACTGTTTTGTTATTGTAGATTGCATTGATTTTCAAGTCTTCAGGATTGGGAATGACGGAAGTGGAGACCAAGGCAGGGCCTGTTAAAGTCAATATGTTAGGATTTGTTCTGAAATTTTCCATTCTCGCAAGACGTTCCAAGGTTTGACTTACCCAACGGACAGCTGGAGTCCATACCTTTAGAGAAGCAAGGCATTGGAGTTTTCATCTGCTCATCACGCGCTGAGATATCGTTGGCAGCTGTGTATCCAAGAATATACGAAGAGGCCTGTTCGACGGTGACATCTCGGGCTGACTTTCCGATCACAATGACTAGCTCTGCCTCGTAATCACTTGAACCGTCTTGAGCAACCTTCGGGATATTAATTGCGGTCGGGTACGGATCAGTAATGGCGGTGCGGGGTTTGGAGAAAATGGCCGGCACGGTGGGTATTGCCATGTTGGCCTCCTGTTTTATTTTAGCATCATCAATATCCAGATTCCAGTAATTTATATTTGGAGCCCGTACCTTTGCATGAAGCCTGTAGTTAAGACCAATGCAACGAATATAGGGACACTCCTCTGGAACAATTGGTGAGAGTAGCTGTGTCGAAATCTCAGTCTATGCAAAGCCTTCTAGAACAGTGTGCCCGACAAACCCTGCGGACTTGCAAAGTATGACTTGTTACTTTGCCATTGTATATTGTTCCCTCTATTTCAAATGCATAGATGGGGACTCCGTCGGTAGAGTCTAGGCCGACATCACGCATTGGGTCGACTAGCTGACCCAAATGAATTTGGTCGTCCTCGACGGCTACGAAGCGCACCAAATGTGTCCAAGCTGACATTTTGAAATCAAAAGATGGGAAAGGTCTTTCCAAATGTCCGTGGATTAGATTCTCATAACTTAGCAGTGCTTTCACGAGCTAGCGGGGAGAAAGTGGTGTTTTGTTTGTTGGTTAGAGTGGATCTTTTCCCATCTGGGTCGGAGGTTCTCGGACCGACTACTTCTGTCTACAAATGTATAGTAGTATCTCGAGGGGCAATACAATATACAAGAGCCCTTATGAATAGTACTATCCCATAGTGCTGACCAAACACGCTTGTTCTCCCCGGATTGCGATTGATAACCACGGGTCCCCAAAGAAAAGAGAAAGAGTAAGTCGTTTTCACGTATGACAGTAAGGCCTTAGGATAAGTCGACTCCAGATTACAGATCAAGGTACTACTGGAGGCACAGGATGAGGATACTCGCATGAGAGACTGAAGATGGTGGTGACATGAAGATGCTATGGAGAGAAGCTATCTACATGGCAGGCACGGTGGGCACTGGCTGACTCAGCAACCTGCGGCCTGAGCCCTCAGGCCTCAGTAGGTACAAACTACCGTTTCAAAAGATGATCATGTCTCCCGCAGCTGAAAGGTTTTCGAAAAACCCAGGCGAAAGGGTATCCAAAGCTTCAAAGTTGGTATTTGCGGCAAATAGGGAGGCCTAGGAAGCAGAAAAGGCAATTAATATACCAAAATAACCACTGGGAATCGTAATGCTTACCGGTTCTCCAGGCATATTTACTGATAGAAGGCCGGGTGAATAATCGCTCGAGCGATTCGTGCTCCTAGGCCCTGTTAACGATGCCCTCCGTACAGCTTTGTTGGCCAGGCCGGCAACCTCCCTCGCGAAAATGAACGATACTTGAGACGATGTGAGAAAATGGACCTTTGCGAAGTGACCGGCCGCCAAGTCGAGGAGTGCAAGATCCGATTCGACAGTCTCAAGCAATGGCATTTTGAGGATATAGATAAATAAGTTGATGACCGCGAGCATCGGGAAATAAAAAACAACCCTGGCGGTTTAGCATTCGCTGATGGTCTCATTCATAGATGACGGGGTCACAATGGCAGAAACTTACGGTGACGAGAAAGACGTATCAAGCTCTGTGTCTTTCAGAGTCGACAAGATCTCTCGTGAGGCTTCAGCTGCTCGAGTTGAGCTTTTCACCAGTCGATCTTCGAAAAAGGACTCTGATCGAGCAAGCAGCGAACTTATCCATGGATAATGGAAATTTGCATTCAAAGCGATGACGCTACCCCAGTATAGGTAGTGTAGCCGTAGAATTTCTGTTCTGCGTTGATCATATTTCCTCAACAGCAAGGAATGCTTCTGCTTGGGTAGGGTTAGATGATCCGGGAGAGTTTTTCGCCACATTTGCAGCTTTTTTTCCAACGTTTCCATTACGTTGAAGAGAGCTTCTGGTGACTGATTGAATGCCCGCGCCGATAAAATCTGTTTGCTTATCTTGGCGCAGATTCGAGCGTGCTCTATAGCAGCGACTGCCATGCCAATGCCTGACCTACTTCCATCAGGAAACTCATTGGGTATCTCGGAGCTTATTTCATCATCATCGACCGCCTGGGCTTGGATTAGAAAAGCTCGAAGGCAAGGAAAGTGGAAGGAATAAAGGAGAAAAGAAGTGCGATACTTACTGACGGACGACCCGATCGCAAGGCAATATTCTTGTCGTAGAAATATGCCGCCCAAAACACCCAACTTCTGTGTAGTGTCTCTGACCTTGGAAGATTCCATGCCCTTGAGGGCTGTCGGTGAAGACCCTTCGATTGTGCGAGTCGAACTGCTGATGCGCAGAGCATGTACTCGACGGCCGGGCTTCCTAGAAGCTCGGCGAAAGAAGTCTGGGTATCTGGTCAGTCATTTCAATGTCAAGGATCCGAACACACATACCATCACGACCAGTGCCTGCACAGCCATTAGCCCACTGGGCCTAAATAGAAGCTCCGAAAAAACGGAGAAGGCATTGTGAAAGAATCGCAATGAGTCCGACTGGATCTCTGCGAAGTCTCCAGTTCCGTCCATTGATACCACGAGTCGGCGCCCTATTGCATACACTGTGTTCCGCAAAGCATACCAAGCAACGTCCTCATCGGGCCTATTGGAATTCTGGAAATGAACACGAAGTCGACTCTCGAAATTGGAGCGCTGAACAACACCGAAAACGCTATCTCGTGAGTTCTCAAAATAAGCTTGAAGATGCAAATGTCAAAATCTCTTGGGATGCATGATATGATAATTGGTGAGGATTTGCATACCTGTTACATATTTCCAAGCATCTTCAACCCCTGGCTCTGGGCACCTTTCACGAATCTTGTCTGAGGCCAGCGTCAACTTTTTTGTCCAACCCATGACCAGTCCCTGCGCAACTTCGTAGAAACGAGTGGTGCCGGTCTTGGAAGAAACCCATTCTACGCCTGGGGTTGAGCAAATAGAGAGCCATGAGCCAGGCCCTATTTTAGTCAGTCTTATTATGGTGCCTTCAGAGAAAATTGGCCATGACTCACCATGATGCTCCCAATTTATCTAGGATCCGGGTCAACAAGAAAAAGTTGCACAGGGAAGGAAGGGCGCGCGAGGGGGGGGGTGGAAATCTCAACATACAGCTTGGAGATCCATTGTAGCCTCTTCTCGATCAATTTCAGAGTCTCGAGGAGCCGGAGGCCGCCCATGATTATCCTTTGGATCAGTTCCATATGTCAGCATTCTGCTCAGGTTTAGAGAAGAAGGTATATCCCCAAATGAGACACCATCCGCCGATCCCGCCAGCTCCGTGATGTTTGTCGGGGAGATTTGACTGGGTCCACTTAGGCTTGGCTCGGGTGCTAGATGGTCTTGACTGATTTCAGTAATTGAAAAGCACGATCGGTCGGTCCTCGTCATGTTAGAGAACACATTGCATCCACCCCAGTCGTTTGGCTGCTCGATCGTCTCGGCGGGACTGGCACAGCCGTGTGCCATGCGCTCTTCATTACCCTTCCGCCCCCTTCGTTGTAACACTGGGTAATCACATTGTTTCCCACGGTCCTATGGCCGGCATTTGTAAGAATTTCCCCTCAAACAACGGGTTGCGATTTCGGCATACCAGGCAATTCCCACAGGGGACCGAGCCGTCGCCTGAGAGAGATTAGCACATTTCAGGTAAACTTGCTCTTATAACTAACATTTCACCTTTTTTTTCCTGCAGTGGCTACAAGCCTGTGATACCTTGACGCGTTCCCTGTTTGGAGCCATGGAAATATGAGATGATTGAGATGACAGTATCAAAGTGCCCCAAGTGGCTGTGGGGAGAGCTTAATACTCGTGCGGGGAAATGGGGATCCAGGCGCATAGACCTCGCCAAACGCGGGTTCGGGGCGAGTTTGGCGAGGCCTACAGGCGCCTCTGTTAGAAGATATAGGCGGAGTGTACGGAGTATGGCAGAATACTGAACAACCAATAGATACGGTTAGCTTAGCTTGGATTAGGTAACTTCCAATTCAAAATTGACAGATTTCTTCGCCACTTCCGCTTATGTTCTATCATAGGCTTTACACCGCTTCTGAGAATCCAGGGGTCACGCCTTCTCCATAGACAAAGGTCGGATATATGATGAGCTGACGCTGGCTTGCTTCAATCAAGCTAAACCACTGGCATGAACTGGTTACGAGAATCTTGAAAAGGGACTCGGAGAGGAAGGAAGCAGGAAGTCACAGTCATATGCCCAGTAGCTCTGGAGGAAGATCTTCAAGTTATAACCTTTGTATCCAATTAATTGCACTATATATAAACTCCATTTTTCGATAGGGATAGTTCAAGTTTGCACAGCCCTCAGAGTCTTCAGAAGCCCTGGAGGCTGATATAGGTCACGCAGGAATAACTTGAAGGAATTGATACATAGAAATCAGATAATTAATGGTGCTGAGATTGGCTAAGCGGATCTCCATATTGAAACTATGGCGTGTGATTACACTACGGTATAATTATGTACTATATAGGAGGAAATTGGTTGAACAACGAATAACTTGAAGCCAATCCTGAATGGTCCTTACCGACCATCCCATCCATTTCAAGGGGGTCGGAGGTCGGAGCCCCGACATCCGATGAAGGGTCCCGCCAGGTTCAAGTTTGACATCGTCCTTCGGTGGAGCCCATGTGTCATCGGTGGCCAATTTTGTTCGGCCCGAACATTTTCGGCACTTGCGATCATACCCCCGGTGCCGTTGATGCCGACTATTCTGGTGATATAGTACTATTCATACATGCCAAGGTTCCGATCCAGTACATTCCTAGATATATACAAGTAAGTATGTAGCCTGGATTCGCTTTTTTGGTAATTTTCGCAGTCTGCCCTCACAGACCCTCCATATCGTCACCATTTGCTCTCATGATGGCCCCTATCACTGCAATTACCAATGTCAGAGTATTTGATGGACAAAAGATCCGCGACTCTAGCACTGTCGTTATCGATGATGAATTGATTGCCGGACCGGATGCCATTCCAACCAAGACCATTGACGCTGGGGGTGCTATTCTGCTGCCAGGCTTCATAGATTGTCACATTCATTTGAGAGGACCAGATGATCTTGCGCGGATGGCTGAATTCGGTGTCACCACCGCACTCGATATGGGAACCTGGCCTATTGAGCTCCTCATCTCCCTCCGCGGCAGGAAGGGCGTGACTGACATCCGAGCTTGTGGTATTGCTGCGACGGCCCGGGAAGTGTGCATAGTCACATTCCTACTCTGCCTCGTGATGCCTTGGTGTCTAACGTTGCGGAGGCAAAACAGTTTGTCGCCGACCGTGTTGCGGAAGGGGCGGATTACATCAAAATAGTGGCGGACGTTCCGGGGCCAGATCAAGAGACCGTCAACGCTCTCGTCCAGAACGCCCATCTGAACGATAAACTTGTTGTTGCTCATGCTATAAGCTTAGTTGCGACGCACATGTCTCAAGATGCCGGCGTGGATTTCATCACGCATGCTCCCCTTGACGGTGTGATGAGCGAGGAGGATATCCAGCGGATGGTGGAGAACAAGCGCATCAGTATTCCAACATTGACCATGATGAAAGGAGTGTCGCAGGCGAAGAAATTGGACTTTGACAATGCCCGCAAAACGGTTGCCGCGCTTCACTTCGCCGGTGTGCCTGTTCTGGCCGGCACAGATGCTAATATGAGCCCCGGTGTACCAGCCAATGTTGCCCACGGGGTCAGTCTGCACGAGGAACTAGAATTACTATTCGGATGTGGGCTGTCAACGGCTGAAGTTCTCCGAGCTGCTACGTCTCTCCCAGCAAAATATTTTGGCTTGCACGATCGCGGAGTAATTCAGCCAGGCTATCGGGCAGATCTGATCTTGATTAAAGATGATCCTATAGAGGATATCAAGGCGACCAGATCCCTCCAGAGAGTTTGGATTGCGGGACAAGAACTCAAACTTCCACAAACTTAAAGTAATTATGATCAAGTTCTTAATTATATTACTCAATAACTTGATCCAACAACTCTCCTTGTTTCCATGGTATATCTGACGATGGAGCTCACATTCTCTCGATTTCGCCTCTAATCTATCGCATAGGGGGTGTTTTAGTTATGCTAATTAGAGCTGATTAGACTATTAGGCAAGTCTAAGGTCTTGTCCGAAATGATAGCAATAACTTTGTTACAATATTTTGCATAGTTAGAGATTTTAGGGTTTTAGAATCAGTACTAATAACAACATATCTTATTAAGTTTTGACTCACTGGGTGTGATATAATAGCCTTGGGGTTTTACAGATTTACTACCTAGGTACTAGTCTGTTAAGGCTTTAAGGAAGGAAGAAAAATAAAGCGTTCCATCATACTAGTACTCCTTAGGTATAGCCATGGATATTATTCTAGTGATGAAAACCATTCTCAATAACGGGCGGGTTGATTGGAAGTCGATCGAAAGAATTTCTCGAGAAGAATAGGTGCGTACTAAGCGACATGTTGTGAAGCCCGAGCCTATTCACCAACGCCAAATCAAGAGCAGTAGTCAAGCCACGGGTTTTTGCAGCCATCCCCACCGAGGCAACATCGGGATTCCACGTGAGAAACTCTTTAAGCGTGATATTGTCCCCTTAGGCCCTATCTTGACGGTATCAATGTCAGCGTCGGTGATTAAGTAACGGTAATCACGAATTATTGATAGGACAACTAGCCTTCCTCGTAGTACTTCCAGTAGTTGTTGCATTTAAGGGAAACGCCAATCTGAGTAGGGTTCGCTTCGTGTCGAGTTCTTTGGCGTGCTAGAAACTTCCTATTGGGCCTTCTTTCTTTCCTATACATTCCATGGCTAGAAATTCACACATTCTGTTTGTTTCTTCAATAGAGACGACAGTTGCACCGTCTACTAGGGCACTCGAGTGAAAGCTCTTTCCACCTGTCAGCTGCGACAAAGACTGTATATTCATTGATCTTACGCCGCCACCAATGATGATTTCAAGATCTTCGCTGGATTTAAGACCATGATTGCGACTATGAAGTCTTGAAAGTGCGCTTGTGTGATCGGTTGCCTGGTTTCCCAACGAACCGCCGCTGGTTAAAATCGAGCTGAATCCACAGGCTATCAGTTCCGCCAGGGTTGTATCCCAGTACGGCTCCGGTATCAAGTCAAATGCACGATGGAAAGTGCATGGCTTCCCATCAGCAAGCTGCACAAGTTCCTTGTTTCTTTCGATGTCAATCCATCCATATCGGGTGCGCGTTTCGGGACGTCGGAGGATTCCGAAAACAAATCCGTCAGCGCCAAGAGTCTTCAAAGTTTTCAAAGTATCCTTCATATCTTCAAATTCCATGTCGCTATAGTAAAAGTTCCTTGGATGAGGTCGGATCATCACGAAAATTGGAATGGATAATCGGGATTTCAGGGTCACCAATGTCGTGGCGTCCGCAGATAGTCCACCAGAAGCATAGTCCTGACAAAGTCTGGCGTGGAATCAGCAAAAGGATTCATGGAATTCACGTGGATGGCCCCCTCCCATCCAGCTGCAAGAAAGGTCTAACAAGTAACTATAACTTACTCGATCCTACTTGCCCCTCCGTTTGCTGCATTTACAGCGGAATCGTGATCAAAACAAGCGATCTCTAGGAGAGGCTCCCGATCCATTTCCTTTTTCTCCATTTCAAGGAGGTGAAGTCTGTGACTCGATAGTGGCGAATCAATCTGGTTATCGGACAGTGTATTCAAAGGGGTCTGTAGGTGTGGCAGAACATAAACAGGACCCGCCTGAAAAGAAAAAGAGGGGATATTTCTGCCAGTGTGGGATGGCGGGTATTAATCATCCGCTCTAGGTCATCAATTGTAATCAAAATCCCAAAGCGACGTTGAACTTGAATCGAGGTAATAAATATTTTAATCGAGGGAAATTCCCTTGAAATTAAATTGTGCATTATTTGTATTCTTCACTATCTTAAATTAGTTTTCAGACAAACAGAGGGTTAATCTCTGAGTCAACGCCCACATAAAATACGCACACGAATATCCAACCGCAGCAAACAAAGCTGGAGCGAGGAGGGATTTCTCAACGAGAGACGGATATCATTTAATATTCTGATGCAATTGTACTATGAGTTGCTCCTCGATAGTGTCTGTATTGATTTGTTCCTCTCCTTTGCGGATTAACTCAATATCAGGAACTGAAGAATGTTTCTGTCCCTCGAATAACGCGTCGATTTCTTCCAATGTCTTTCCCTTGGTTTCAACCCAATAGATAGCCTTGTCTGGTTAGTGAATTTCATAACTCGATAAAACAAGGAACATACAATTAGGACTAAGACAACTATATCCCAGGATGCATTAATCATGTACATCTTCCATCCAATGTCACCTAGCCCGATTGGCATGATGAATGTGAAGACGAGACTGACAAACGTTAGTATCCGTTGCAAGAGTTTGTTCCATGAACTTACGCAAATGCATTCAAAGAAAATGACGAGAGAGCAACACCATTGGCGCGGATGGTATAGTTCATCACCTCTGACGGGTATAGATATAACAGCGGCGTCCATGCTATTGAGTAAAAGCCTTGAAAGAGAAACATCACAGCCACATTCCCATATACCAAGCCATTAGATGCACCAGCAGGATCTGATGCATACATGTTTGAAAGCCCCCCTACCACGAAAAGGCAAAGAGACAAGAGCGTCTGGGAAAGAATTGCCGTCGATTTTCTCCCCCATTTAGCTGCTAGGTGCGTACCTATAAGGCTGCATAGAAGACACCAGGTATTTAAAACGACATTCTGACGTTTATTAGCCAGACAGTTTTAATTTTTGCTCCGGGGGAAACCCACCGCCTTGAGTTGATCGTTTGTATCTGTAATTCCGGCGGTATCGAGCTCAGAGCCTAAATAATAGGATGCAATTACGTTTCCTGCTATGCAGGAAAACGGGCCTGCTGATATTCCAATAAGGAGTCGTTTTCTGGTCGCCGACCTCTTGAATATCTCTATGGGTCTTAGACCATGACCTTCTTCTCGTTCCCATTTCAAGGTATCCACAATTTCTTTGAAGATTGCAACGACAACAGGATCCGAAATGTTGCTGTCGGCGTTCTTCTGGGCAACAGAAAGTCTTGCTTCTTCGTAATGCCCTTGTTGTACTAACCAGCGCGGTGATTCAGGGCTGCATTCATTCAGAAAATGCACTTTAAAAAGATTATTTCGGTCTCCAACTCACATAAATGGGAGAGTAAGGATGCAGAGTAATGAAAATATTGCCTGGAAAAGAGACGGAGCTCTCCATGCCCAAGTCGATTGCCACTGGCCGGTACCAAGAGTAACCCCTGCTGCAATCAAGGCCCCAATGCTATATCCCGACTCGGAGTTAGATGAAATTTCCGGTTCCGTGAATACAGAGTACTCACTAATAAAAATCATTAAGTAGTCCCACGCCCCACGCCCGCCAGCGACTGGGAAACGCTTCGGTCAAATATACTCCTCCGGCAACCCCGGTAATAGCACTTCCAATCCCTATCATGATCCTCGCTACGACGAACATGGCAATATTTTGCGCCGCAGTCTGGATTATTATTCCAAGAATCGTTAAAAGTGAGCCCCAGAAAATAGCTGGCCGTCGACCAAGTCGGTCAGCTGCAATACCTGATATCAATGGCCCTATGAATCCACCAATTGAGACCGAGGCAGTATTCAAACCCTTCGTTACGTTGTTCAATTGAAAGTAGTCAGTATATGAAGGAAGGATATTGAGACCATTGAGCATTGATCCATCGTAACCGCTCGTCTACTTGATGTTAGCTAAAATGAACCCAATATTATATCTCTGGTAGATATCAAAACCATTCACTGACTGCTGACTGTACTATAGAACATATTATGAGTAGTGCCGAAACAGTAATCGTAGATTGAGGAACCCATGCGGGCATCCATGTGCCAGTTTTTGTTCGTTTGAGCATATCGATGTGAATGGACTTCGCCAAAAATAACTGTTTAAACCTTGGAGACCCGGAGACAACCTTGAAATAATATTTTTATTACCTACTGCCTGGGTAGATGCCAGGTACTACCTACCTAAGTAGTGGGTAGTAGAGTCACGGCGACTCCTTTTTTCCTCGAAGTTTTGAAACCCTTCAAGTTGGAACTTGCCAAAGCAGCCTGAGGATGTTTGATCAGATAGATAAGCTTGATTTTAGCAGCGGAAATAATTGTAAAAAATTTTGAAACCATACGTCCGGACTAGTACCTAGGGAAGTATCTGGTATTTATCTCCCCGCTTTGTAATAACCGCCCCCTCAGGGTGGGAATGGGAATATCGCTCAAATTATTCCTGTTTTATGACTGGGTAAATCGTTTACTTAAGTGCGGGGTTCTCATTGAAATATTTTGTCCATGTATATCTTTCCTGATAGTTGATAGGGGTGGTAGTGAGAAAGCCCTTAAAAACGCAGGGATATGACAAGAATGTGACTGCCGACGACCTATTCTAAAGCCCGTTGATAATCTCTGTTTTCTTTTGCGTTTGCTTTTTCAGGGCAGGTCTCTGATTCCGTTGGTATTCAGAATAGCACAACTTCGCGCAGCAATGACAGCCGAAGAAAAGGAAATCGCAATGTTGACTATGACGAGTACGGCAAATAGAAAATGAGCGGGGTTGACAGGGCGGTTCGAAGCGACGTTGCATGGGGAACGCGGGGATAGGTGTCCTTGAAAACCAAAAACTCGCTTCGCTGCAACCCTAATTCATTTACTCCGATCCCTTCTTCAGGATAACTACTCCCGATATCGTCTTTTCCGATACGACACATAACACATAATGCCCCGCCGACCAGTCATCGCTGTTGCCGGGCTTGCCTGCGAGACGTCCAGTTTCTCTCCAGCCCGTACACTAGAACCGGCATTCCACCCACGCCGTGGGGATGAAATTATTGAAAAGTATTCTTTTATCCAGCCTGGAACACCTCTAGGTCATGCTGCTAGCTGGCAAGGCTCATTGATCGGTCATGCTCTCCCGGGCGGAGTAGTCACCCGGGATGCGTTCGAGGGACTTACCACCGAAATTCTCTCCCGACTTGCAGATATCATCTCAAACTCTGAGACGGGAATTGATGGCTTGTGGTTTGACATCCACGGAGCTATGTGTGTGGAGGGGATTCAAGATGCCGAAGCAGAGCTCCTGCGGCGCATACGAGTTATCATTGGAGCAGAAACAATAGTATCTGCCTCGATGGATCTACATGGAAATGTTTCCCAACAATTAGCCCATCAGACCGATCTCATAACTTGCTATCGTACGGCTCCTCACGAAGATACCATGGAAACAAAAGAACGGGCCTGCAGGCATCTTGTTGAAATTTTAACATCAGAACCAAGCGAGCAAAGACGCCCGTTGAAAGTCTGGGTACAGGTTCCTATCCTTCTTCCAGGAGAGCAAACTTCCACGCGCTTGGAACCAGCAAAAGGACTCTACCAACTTGTCCCACAAGTTGAAGCTACTACCGGTGTGTTGGATGCTGCTATTTGGGTTGGATATGCATGGGCAGATGAACCTCGGAATCACGCGGTAGTGGTTGTAACAGGTTGGGAGATCAACGCGGTTGCTACAAATGCAAAGCGACTTGCCGAATATTTTTGGAAAGTTCGTCACGAATTTCACTTTGCCGCACCCACTGGGTCGCTGGATGACTGTCTTGATCAAGCACTTATTTCTCGCGATCGGCCCTTCTTTATCTCGGACTCCGGGGATAATCCGACTGCTGGGGGCTCTGGAGATGTTACCTGGGGGCTATCTATTGTTCTTAGTTGTCCGGAATTTCGGCATAGCACTGGCCCGATAGTCATATATGCGAGCATTCCGGGCTCTGAGGCTGTTGACTGTATAGCGGCGGCCGGAATCGGTGAGACTGTTACTGTTACGGCAGGAGCTGAGGTTGACAACATCCACCACGGTCCGCTGAGGCTGACCGGAATCGTCCACGCCATCAAACTCGGCGATAGGGATGCTCTTGTAGAATGTGTACTTCGGATTGGGTCGGTTTACGTAATCATCACAAAGCAACGCAAACCTTACCACCACAAGAGTGATTTCACTGAACTGGATCTAGATCCTCTATCCGCAGATATAGTGGTGGTTAAGATTGGATACTTGGAGCCAGAACTATTTTGCATGGCGGCCAACTGGATGCTGGCTCTCACCCCAGGAGGTGTGGACCAGGATTTAGTTCGCTTGGGCCACCGGCAGATTTGTCGACCCATGTGGCCATTCGATCGAAGTTTTCCGCATGCCCCAAGTCTCACTCCTCAGTTAATCCCAATGTCAAATGATTCAGCTTGAAATACGAGATGTCTGAATGAGCGACGGTTAACACATTCTCTGTTGAGGTGTTAGGGGGTCAAGATAGCTTCGCTCTCTTCTTTCTCTCTTCATATCACAATTTTCTTGCTTTTCATTCATTGACCTCCTAGCAATATTATTTCAAAACCAGAAACCAGCAACCTTTGTATATGGAACAATGATCTGTCAAAACTATAGGTATTACTCGCGTCGCAGTTGTGAATTTGTTAGGAACTGTCGATAATCTATTGGCTAACAATCGTCCACCTTCTGCTGGACTTGGAATTTTATTTACAAGACTTCAGGACTTTTGAGAAATGACTTTCTGCCATGTGAGTATCTTTCAAATACAAAGCCGCAAACAACAATTCGGATTATTTCGCGTCCTCGAACAAAGTAATGGATCCTGTTTTTGGCAAATTACGCTGGGGGTAAACTATGCTCAAGTGGCTAAACTAAGGCAACCGTTTTATCTTCCCTTTGTAACGAACTGAGGTCGTTACTATTTCAATGATCCTCTATCTGTACTAGTATGGCATCCACTTATTGCGAAGCACCCATCGGGTGCGAACCATGCTTTATTTGCCGCTCCCCTCTTTATGGGGGGCGGGCAATCTGAGATCACGTGATGGGGATCTAGAGTTGTATGGGATACTGGTGTCGCGGAACAGCCAAATGGGCGGAAGTTGCAGTCACATGACCGATGTACACCAACTAAGGTGCTCTATTTGGTATCCACAGCTTCCAGCACGTGACTCCAAGAAGCACCAGCTTCCTGCCTCAGGCATATGGGCGGTCTCTTATGTCTAGATAGCTTTGTCTCTCTTCATCTGATCAATGGTTTCAAGTTTCGTACCTTAGTTTTCTCTCAGTAGCTCTCTCTGACAATATCCGACTAGCCTTCCTATAGCAGAGGCTCATTATAGGATATTCTGATTTTCTGACTGTGAAGTAATTAAGCTTCAAGTTACTACGTAGTAGTACGTATTACTGAGCACCCTATGGGGGTGCGCGCGTAAAGGCTAGGGGTCCGGGGAGAGCCTAGCTCCCTAGTACATCCACGACTTAGTTCCTTGCGTCTTTTCTTGTTGTAGTTCTTCTTCTTCTTCTTCTTCTTCTCGACGATCTGGTTATTTTCGTCGTATTCTACCACTTGTTTGACTGCGGGAGGCCTTTTGCAGTAGGATATTAGCTTTAAATCGTCTCAACGCACAAATCTAAAACTAGAAATTTCCGACAACTTAAAACTCATTAGCGGTCATTTTAGGCCATCTTTACACTAGCCCTCCTGTATTTTCTTTAGAATATCAGTTTTTCCTCTGATAAAGCCTTCATAATTAACATAGCACACTTGAGGCAGATCCGGACTTACACATTCAGTCGGACTTGAAAGCCTAGAATTTCCTAGCGCCAATCATCCGAGAGATCAACGCCGTTGAGCTGGATGTTTCCACCGGAAAATTCCGCATAAGGGTGGTATTTCGAACGTTTCCATATCTATACATTTTCCAAGATATCGGCACCTTTCTGGTTCCAAGGTTCTTGCTGGAGATACACGGCTGAGAAGGGCAAAACACGAAGGTGCTTTATAAAAGAAGGAGGGCAAAAAACTCATCTAAGGCATGCAATACTGGAAACCTGCGAAAGATTAGGCTCGGCATTTTCTGAAATTTGAAGATCAATAATCGCATGTTGCTTGTTTGTAAAAGTCAGTTACTTTTCATGTTCCCTCGATCCGCCGAAATTTTCTTTATCACTCTTGCCTAGGGGTCGGCGTTTCTCTTTGTGCTTCTACTTTCATCGTAAACCTTAATGATGCACATTTCAATTTCAAAGTTCTTGGTTCGCACTGATATATTCAAGTTATCCATGGATCTGAGTCTTTTGGAAATATCATCACGAGTATCCAACCCTTGAAAGGTCAAAGGGATTAGATATCGACACTTTCTTTTCAATTTCCTCGGCCGTCGTTCCCTTTTAGTCGTGATTCTGCGTTTTTCGTTTTTATCTTGCCAATCGTAGTAAAATCTAGAGGGTTTCCTTCAACAAAACACTGAATATAGCATCTCTGTGTTTTTCATCTTGGGTAGTTTCTTTTTTCAACACATATCACTACCAGAGTATCAAAAATCGATTGAGTCAAGAATTCGCTTCAAAAGAAGTCCTTCTAATAATAAAACACCTTTCCATCTATGTGGTTATTTCAAACCATTTCGGAATTAGTAATTTAGCTACCAAGGCTCTTCTATTTCTATAAATAAATGCCTCTTTGATTCTTGATTCTTTCATCCCTTTTGCTGCATCCTTGTGATTTTGCGCGGCTGGCGCGGCGGGCTTGGCCCGCCCTTGAACTCAATATATGACTGTCCGACTTTCAAAATTAGGCATCACGTCTGCAAGGCATTAGAATCCGAGTTTCTCATAACAGTATTCTGATAATATCAATATCAAGCGAGGCATAAAATGACACCAAGATTTCTGGAATTTAAGAAGCAGAGTTATCCTATTTCTTACCCGTATTACGCTTTCTTTGTGATCGCTCGAGGAAAAGGGTTTTGAAAGAGCCTCGTCGTTATTTCAACTCTTCCTTTCAGGTTTTCAATCAAGGCCTCCAGGGTATATAGTGTATGCGAATATCTCGATATTTTTTTCTTGGGTAACAGTAATTGATATATCGCTTTTAACTTCTGATATTTCACATCAAGTCCTATCCTTCATTATTATTTTCAGCTAGCGAAATGGCTGCCAAGAGGCGTGCTGAGTCTCCTCCCGGGGATGAATCACCTGCGAAGAAAGTCTATCAAAGTAAGAAATGGACTATCACAGAGTCGAAGAAAGATATTCCAGCATCGCTGCGAGAAAAGATTGTCTCGAAATTCTTTGTCGAATTTTTGGATCTAGATACAAAGATGGGCAAGAGTAAGACTCACCTGAACGAGGAGGGTCTGCGAAACAATCACTGCATTGCTAGGCTGGAATTCAAAAATATAGTAGATAAGGAAACCAGGGATGTACCCGGAAAAACAATTGGCGTTATACTTGATCTTGAATATGATCTTATCAGCGAGGCAACAACACAACCTGGAAAATTTCATGTCAAAACTATCAACTATGATAAGCCCCATCAGCTTGCAGTGAAATCCATACGGATTCCTATCCATGCATATTTCCGGAGACTTAAGGAATTCCTCAAAGTCATTGACGATACAAACCTTCTCCCGTGCGGCTTTAATGTAGAAAGACCATCAAGGGCAGTTGGGTGTAAAGACTTTATGTGAGTAAAATCTATTTGCTCCCGTTCCAAGGCTGATTTCGACTTGGAGGTCCTTGCCCAGTGACTGATAAGAATTTGATAGGTCGCAGTATATATACCGACTCGGCCTGACTCGGAGTCCGATGTTGACACTCAGCCCAGCAATCTATGCCAGCTTTAACAATAATTATGGCCCGAGACAGAACCAGCAGCACAATGGCGATGTAGGCTACGCGGCCTTTAACCAGACATACCATGCTAACTATGTACGCATACCTCAGATTCAATACGGGGGGAATCGTGAGTTTTCTAAAATTATCTCTCCCTTCTCTGCCCGGTTATATTAAGGCTGCTAAATGAATAATAAAACAGGGATTCCGTTAGTCTCAAACGGAAGTGGATAAATTCAATGGTTGGAATGATAGTGGCAGTTGACCTCTGGCTCATGGTCAGGTACCAGTAGGTGTCTAAAGTGCCCGGAAGGCAGATCACTAGCAGTCCAAAATACACACAAACGGGTCAAGAAGATTAAACATCCATGGATATTTTGGAATTAATAGACATGAATTACCATCCCTGTGGCGCTTTCCAAGGTTCGCTTGAGCACATACCACAAAAACCATTGGTGAGCGTTGATGTTTTATTAGACAGTCACCGGTACTCCTTCTGATTAATATGGTTTCAAGCTTTACAACTTGAAGCCCTGGGGATTTGAAAGGAGAATTTTCGTCTAGTTATATCAAGGGTTTAGTGTTGAAGCTTACGATATTAGTACTATGATTTCAAATAGATATTACATGTTCCAGATCTTTCGCATTTAATTCTGGTGAATATACCGCCAATAGTTGGTTGAGGACATGGCTTGTAAATAATATCCGTGATAGTTGACGAACAACCTTTCGGAATCCCTTCGGCTTTTTGCATTCCTTGTAAGCGATCGTTTTCTATTTTAAGATCTCAAAATGGTATAGGATTTAATTGAAAATCATTATCCTCGGCTTGGATTGAATAAGCTCTTTAATTGATCTGCGGAAATATTTCATGGAGAGAAATGATTGCTCTTGTGGACTAGACTTATTTTGGTTCTACAAAAGGTAAGAGTGCATATGGTAGTACGAGGCTTTTAATCATTCTGATCTCTTTTTTATGTCTTTCATTTTCTTATGTAACTTTCATACTTGTCTAGCTTTTCGTTTATGTTCTGAGCGCATTAATTACTTGCAGTGGAATAATACTTCGCGTTTTTCTTCTACGTTTCTTGGCATATGTGTAGTTGCTCCGAAGCTTAATCCTAATATCTCCATCTTTCTCTGTCCGGTAAAAAAGAGCTATGGTCTATACATACTGCAATTGTCTTGAAAGGATATCGCTGAGGCCTTCGTTCGTGGAAAATTTGGGTAATCCGTCAAAGAAAGAATGAGGCCCTGTATCTAAGGTAATTGTGGGATCTACCATTTCCAGCAATCAACCTTAGACGTCTTCATGCCCTCGAAATTCCTTCTCATGCATAATACCTGCGAGTTTGAAATTACATGGGAAATTGCATTTTCGGCTATTATCTAGTACCGGCATAATCGAGATGAGCAGAACTGGGCCGATCTCGTCGTCAAAGCCAGAATATTACCTAATTGAAATCTCCCCCGCGCCGCGGGGCTGGTGGGTACTGACGACGAACGGCAACCTGAATCGCGTCTATTACTCAAGGTGAATGCTGGGTCGAGGTCCACATGAGACATGAATGGACACCAAGAAGGTGTGGTTTGTTCCTGTGGAGAATGCGGCACAGGCCGCGGTCATTCTCCAAAAATCGGGATGTCGGTCGCCCCTCTTCTACCATATAAAGCGCTTCCACAGGTTTCCTGGAATATGAAAGGTAGACTTAAATTCTCTACGGTGCAGCTAATGCTCACGAACGATTATCTTAAGCCAGGTAATAATATAGTATAACGGGTCAAACTTTTGGTCACCATCCTTCACCCTGTGGCATCGGAGATTTCATGCGAAACTAGAGTCTATATCGAATTGCCCTTCCTTTCCTATATTCTGATTTCTTTTTCTTCTTTCCAGTCGAACCAGAGCGAAGGCAATGGGGTTGGCTTAAATTTGTCGCCTTTTGGATCGCCGATTCATTGAATGTGGTAAGTTATTTACTACACCCTTCTCTTGCCGATTACAGCTCGACCCCGCTCTGTAGCACGATTCCATAATACAGGAAGAGACCACTATATCTTATATTCACAAATAAAACGCTGATGATATCCTCGTCTATGATTGTTGATGGGCTCTCCTGGTGGCAATCTTGGTTATGCGTCTGGATTGGCTATACGATCGCGGCCCTGTCTGTCTGTCTGATGGGTCGTATTGCATCAACATATCGCATACCATTTGCTGTTACAAATCGATCCTCATTCGGTATTTGGGGCTCATTTTGGCCTATAATCAATTGAGCTGCAATGAGCGTTATTTGGTATGGTGTGCAAGTAGGTTAGTTACCCTTCCGATAAATTAAATATGACCTGGCTTTTCTGACAACTTCATCAGACCTACCTGGGAGGTATGTTTCTGAGCTTTGAGAATCCGCTTATTTTAGCTACAAGGTTTTGTACTCACTGATTATGCTTATAGGTGAATGTGTGACCTTGATGATACAATCAATTTGGTCGAGTTATGCGAACTTGCCAAACACAATCCCAGAAGGGGCAGGGGTTACCACATAACAGTTTGTAAGCTTCTTCCTCTTCTGGGATCGCTTCCTGCCTTGTGGTTTTCAATCTACAAGATAGGACATCTCTTTACGGTGAAGGCATATTTTCTCCAGCATGTGCAATCGCATTATTTGCTTGGGCAATCGCCCGGGCACATGGGCTACACCCTATCGTAACACAGTCCAGCACCGCTCAGGGTAGTACTTTGGCCTGGGCCTTTGTAATGATTATCATGAACTGCACCGCAAATTTCGCCGCGTTGGTCATCAACAACCCCAATTTTGCGAGATATGCTCGCAAGCCCCAGGACTCACTATGGCCTCAAGTTATAACTATTCCAGTGGGATTCGCTATTACTTCGTTCATCGGTATCATTGTTTCATCTTCCTCAAGTGTGATTTTTGGAAAAGCCGTGTGGAATCCATTGACCCTTTGGGGTATGTTCCTTGACAATGCAAGCTCTGCTGAGAGATTTGGAATTTTTGTTATCTCTAGTGGATTTGCTGTAGCACAGTTTGGAACCAATATAGCTGCAAATTCTGTCTCTGCGGGGACTAACCTCACGGCACTGCTTCCATGATTCTTCACTATCCGACGCGGTGGGTATCTATGTGCAGCAATTGGCCCCGCCATGTGTCCTGTCAGTATCTCATCTAACCTGCCTCACATATGGGGTTCTTGTTCTTACTTTCTTCAACAGTTGACCCTTGTTTTCTCCTCGATCAACTTGACTCTTTATCTTTCTGCATATTCCGTCTTTCTTTCCGCCGTTGCAGGTGTTATGGTGAGTGACTACTATCTAATGCGAAAGGGGTATCTTGATATCGAAGATCTTTATTCCGCCCGAAAAGACAGCCTCTACTATGGAGTGTATGGTGTTTCTTGGCACGGTTATACAGCCTACTTTTGCGGCATACTCATCAATATCGTTGGCTTCGCCGGTGCTGTCGGGGTTGATGTTCCAATCGGGATCCTCTAAATCTACAATGTGAATTATTTCTCAGGGTTCTTCGTGTCTGGAGCGATATATTGGCTTCTGGCTTGGCTAGTCCCAGTCCCGGGGATAAGTGTAACATGGAACGAGATTCCGTATGAGACAAGCTCCGTACCCGATTCGGATGAGAAGAACGTTGAAGAAGCGTAAGTGGGTCGGGAAAAAGAAAGCCTACGGGGTACGGAGTGTACGTGGGGTTGTCAACCTCGGGGAAGCTGTGAGGGGCCCCCATGATGCCGACATCGGTACGTACGGATCGGTAACAAAATAATATAGAACTATGCAATGCATCTTTCGCTTTCTCAGACGCAAGTGGCGTTTTTTCTCTTTTGCTAAATAGTTCCCAATGAACATTCGTAAACTCCAGTTCCAAGGTCGTGAGTCGTTCAATTTCGGATTCCCGGTGTATATTGCCGATAACCGCGAATCTCCTCGGCAGTCCATTCACACGGGCCTCGGGGTTTTAGCGCTTAACCAGAATTCGAGTCATTCATTGGTCATATTCTCCGATCAAGACACTTTTGGAGTCGATCTCCAGAGCTTCTCCCGCCTCTTACTTCATAGCCTGTCCAATTTTGCGCTAGCATCGTAAGCGGCATAAACTTTCCGCGGGAAGCATCCCTATTACTACCCTTCGGAAAAAAGTTCTCGGGCGATACATGATGATATATTTATGTTCCTATCGAGTAATCCAACTCTTTCCTGACTTCATGCTCTTATCGGTCTCATCGTAACATATTGAGATCGAGTAATGAGTACCTAGGTACATAGATAGTATCTCTTGAGCTGATTTGCCTAGCCCGCCGGCTAGGAACTTTCCAGTTTTGATCGAGTAATATCCACCCCCAGGATTGATCAACTTCGCCCAGTTGCACCAATCAACCAGCTAGCATGGTATTGGATTCAAGCTAGGTACTCCGTAGTAGGTACTAGTATATCACACCGGATAGTCTCCGAAAAAAGCTCTCCATGATGAAATTGCCTCCTGGTTTCATTTTGAAGAAGGTTTGACATTGCACAGATCACCGGCGCACTTGTGATTATTGTATTTCCGGGCAAAGTCAAAGTTGAACCAAGCGCCATTTGGGCTTCAGATTATATAGACTTCCTTTCCGCAGGGCCATCGCTCACAAGAGATCACAGCCTTGAGTTGTCACGCACTTGTCTAGGTGAATCCTTGGTTTGGCCTTTTGAGGTGATTCATTAGCATGGGTGCTACTACGCTGTTACTACCGGAGAGTAGTATTGGTAGTCGGCTTCCCGATGGCTATAATTTAAATAGTGCCACCCCCCCTTCGCCACAATCATCGCAACTACACGATGGACCCGCAGAAGACGACTTTGAAGATATTCCTGAGGCTCAGTTTATTAAGCGATCTGCCTTCACTCCGAGTTCATCTTTCCGGAATGTATCAGCCTGTCATCGATGTCGAATGCGAAAGCATAGGTGTGATCAACAATTACCAAAATGTCGATCCTGCGAAAAAGCCCAGGTTCGATGTGTCGGATATGATCCGATCACCAAACAAGAGATACCTCGCAGCTATGTGTATTTCTTAGAAAACAGGGTGGAATATCTGAATGAAATCTTGTTAAAGCACAAGATAAACTTTCATTCTGCAGTTTCTTTTAACGACGATGGAGCAAACTACAACACTGCCTCAAAATCCAATCCGACACCATCCGCAAAGGTTGAATCAGCGGCTTCAAGTGGAAAGATATCAGACGAAGTACCACTTGATACAGAACTACCTGAATATTCCAACTCCCTCGATTCGGCGATTCTAGATCTTCTTTCAGGAAGAGATACGAAACTAGAAATCACAAGAGTAAATGAGCTCAAAGGTCGTCCCAGCAACCTACAAACTTCGGCTCATCCGTCTTTGTTCCGCTTCGGATTCGAAAGTACTGCTAAAGGCACGATGGAGCTTCCAGATCGGGAAATGGCAGATAGGCTTGTGGATGAGTATTTCATTCACACCAATCTCCATGTACCTGTATTGAATCGACCAGACTTCGAAAAGATCCTGGATCGGATATACGATAGCGAAGGCTCCGACTATCCCAAAGATCAACTCTACTTTGCCTTCATTGTGTTTGCAATTGGCGCTGCCTCTGTCACAAGGTCTCATGAAGTTAACCCGGGCCCTGAGCTGCACTTTGGCGTCGGATCAAGAAAGCGGAAAAGATCATCAATTGAATTCCGAGCTGCAGAGGAATACCACGCTTCCGCAATAACCTGCCTAGAACACTGTCTTGACTCATGCGGAAATTTTAATCTATTCGGTGATTTTGAGGGGCTTCAAGCCCTTATCCTCCTCTGCAGTTTCGCTCTTTTCAAATCGACCTCCCCCGGGCTTGGAAATCTTCTCGATATTGCCATACGCTCAGCAATAGATCTTCGACTATACAGTGAGCAGGAAAGCCCTGTTAACATGACAAATCTCAGTTCAAATTGCTCATTTGATGAAGCACATCGGGATTGGATCAAAGATCTACGACGAAGACTCTGGTGGTGTGTTTACAGCCTGGATCGATTGGTCGCACCTTATCTTGAAAGGCCGTTTTTTATTCCAGACGATGTTATTACCACTCAATTTCCGTCCATACTAGATGATCGATTCATCACACGACGTGGGATATTAACCTCGGTCGATGACAAAGGCGGGTATAAGTATGCCGTTCGGCATCGCTTTCGGTTCAGAATTCTTCAATCTGAAATGCACACTGTTCTCCAATACCATCACGCACGTTTGAAAAGGGGAGAGCCATCTTCAAATCTCAATCGGAGAAAATCCTTGTCTCGCTCTGATTTCTCTTCTTTCAGCTCCTGGAGGCAAGACATCCATTCCAGATTGGAAAGATGGAGAGACTGTATACCCACCCTGGGATCTCCCTCAGACAGGTTTCTAATGGAACTTGACTTTTGGCAATCGATAATCGCTCTCTATCGTTGGAGTGTAAAAATACCGCCCAATTTAGTTCACGCCCCAGTGACAAACACTTCCACCATTCAGCCTCCCTCCAATGAATCGCCAGAGGAGGTAGACTGGATTTGTTTCAAAGTCGCTGAGGCAACTTCAAACGCGCTTCATATACATCACATGATGCAAAATATCGGTTGTAGCACTACGCCTTACATTATTACCCACGAAGTTTTCCTTGCAGGTGAGAATTTCAAATATTAACGTCTCAACAAAAGTCGCCTTGCTGAATTATCCACTCAGGTAGTTTACTTCTCTTTACACTGTGGAACTCGCAATTAGTCCAACAGAAAATGGTAATTTGTCATGAGTCACTGCCCAGGTGAATATTTATCATTTACTAATGATTCCTAGACATTGAGAAGTCTCGATTATTCAACGCTTGCTGCTGTCTCGGTTCTGGATAAACTGAAACATGAATGCCACTTCGCGAGAAAATCATTAGTTACTCTTAAGTCGATGGCCACTCTCACAATGCAAATGAAGCTATCGGCAGCCGAATTTGCGACGCCACCCAGATATTTCACACAATCTAATATTCCGAAGGAAAATTTGCGGAATTTACCCACAGACACCGGAATCCCAGATGTTAGACAGTTACAAGGTCAAATATCTCACGAAGCTGATCTCGCTGGAAAGACATATCTACGGGGCTCTTTTCAGTTTCCGCAGTCGGATTCTGTACTACCCATCCCCTGTGAGGGTTCAAAGCCAATATTGAAAGTTGCTAATGAGTCTTTTACCAACATCCCTGCAATTTCAAGGGACCCTGAAAACAGCATAGAGTATATGTCTACTACGGATTTCAAACCTCCTGAGGGGGCTAGCATTTTGGCAGGGGCAATACCGACCCCCGAGAGTCTTCAATCATGGAATAACTCTAACGTTGAAGCCTCGAAGAACCCTTCAGATACTTGGTTTCATACTAGTGAGCCTGTTACCACTTGCAACTTCGCTCATTCAACTACGGAAAACGCAGACATTGAGGATGGTGAGGATCTTTTGGATGCCTATATTGTTGGGTGGACTTGATACAAGTTTTCCGTGACTTGGATAAATACTAGCTTGAAGATGATGAACCATGATAGATTTGGCTAGGCTTCCAAGGTTATATCATCCGACGGGTGAATCACCTGGGCACAATTCAAAACTACTAATTTCCACATTCTCAAAGCGTAAATCGCAATAGTTTATCCTTGTAGCTCGTCATGCAGACGCTCCAGTTGCCTCGTCTACTTGGAGGGTTGCGTGAAAGCTCAGCATATTTCGATGGTATCCAGCCGCGAATGGGAGTCATGTAGGGTTTTACCTAGGTAAAAACAGAAGATACGACCTCGGGAATAGATTCCGCAGAGTTTTATATTTCACTAGAGGATACTAGGTAGTAGACTTGGCCGAAACCCTCATCAGGGCGGTATCATTTCCAAGGTTGTTCTCGGGATGGCCCCAGTCACCTTTTCAAGAATTCCCCGTTCTATTGACTTTCACATGGGCAAAATTTGATTTGAATTCTCCGCGTGTAGCTCCAGTTAAATCCGCAAGGTGAGACTCAGTCACTTCTGTCAGCGGCATCTCCCACACCGCATGCCATATTCCCAGAGCTTGGATGGAATATTCATGCCCCTCTTCACATTCAAATGAAGGAAGCTTCACAGTGCGGTCTATGGCCTGGCCCGCTGGTATTTCGACCAGATCTGCCGAGGTTGCCGGGAGCTTTCTGGATACTTTGATCGTGTCGATGGGAAGTGCTTTTCCATTTTCAATATCGCAGACCTCAAAAACACCCAGAACCCCGGCCTGGAAGTCCAGAGGTGAGTTCCATGTCAAAAGAGTCACTGAGGATGATGCGTTGTTGTGAATAGAGATGCTGATGGGTACAGGAAGAGATGATGACGCTTGGAGATTTGAGACCTCAGAGGCCAGAGTGACCTGCAGACTCAAAGCAGGGACCATCATTCCCGTTCCTGGTCTCTTGGTATCAGAGGGAGAAGTTGAGGATTATTGAGTGAATGAGACTTTCGGGTTTGAGGAGAGTGAGTAAAGTAAGGGAGCAATGAAGACTTCAATTTTCATTTCGAGGAGTTGAGGGGAAAGGAGGCCGTAGTTCAGCCCATGGATGTTAGTCGCCGGTTCTCAGAGCCGCCCAGGGAACTGCTGCATAGCACCAAAGGCATGAGATAAATTACGGAAGGAACAGTTTCTGGTCAATCGTCCGTTTCTGATTTCCTCAAGGGCCAATGGAACTCTCCACAACTCCTCTCATTACCGGGCCAAGCTGTGCCACAGGGTTTGGTGGCGCCGGGTACTCCTGGGTGGCGTGTAACCCTCCCATCCACCCCGACTTGGCGGTCATCTTGTCATCTTCAGGAATTTCTTCAAGATTTCTCCTATCGGGAGTCTATTGGCAGTGGCAGCAGAGTATAGCATTGTCAATGGTTGCCCCAAGACCACTTAACCCGCAGTTAACCCTTTATCTTGCGAATATAAGAGTTGGGCGTATCTTGGGTGGTATCTTGATTTGCTTGGCGCCGCGGACTCCGCAGCAATGCAAGACTCAGGCATCTTGGCAAGTGGAAGACAATCATTATCACCCTCTATCATACTTGACCTTTGAAGAGAGGTGAGGGGGAAACTCACCCTCCTGTGAGCCTCGAGTCTAATCTCTCGAGGGGTGGGGGAGGCTATCGTGCTTCCAAGGCCCTGGAATACCAAAAGTGTGCCCCCTGTGTATCATGTACACCATGTACAAAACACTTTAGTTCCCTCCAATAAGTTAATATCCGTTACATCGTCGAGTCTTGGGTTTAGGGTTTGCCTTCCCCGGCCCAATCGACACACAAAGAAGGCCATCATCTATGTTATCCCAGATTCTCACCAGTCCTCTTCCAGGACTCTCTCCGAGCACGATCTCCTTTGCAGACGTTACTCGGTGAATCGGGTCTCCGCCGGGCCAAGAAGCGGAAGCAATTCTCACTTCACATCAAGGTCGAGTTCCGACGAGATCCAGGCCTCTCGAGATGTCAACAACCAGTAGTGGATGGTCTCTGCCTTCTCGCCCTCGTAATGACCAGTCGAAACACCAGATGACCACCTAATTTACCCTCTGCCAGGACTGCAGGTGGGGAAATCAGACACTCTCTAGGGCTCTCCAACTCTCTCACATCACGAACTAGCCTTGTTAGTCTTCACTTCGGGGTAACTGAAGACGGAATCCAATGCTTGGATATCGACATGAATCTTCCTCCCAGAGAACTATAAATCGAGCCATCCGGCCGTGCAATTTCCAGGTGTTCTCATCTGAATCTGCTCAACCGTACATCGGCGCTCAAACTCACTGCACATTCATTTGATCAACTCCAACTTCTTAATCTTTCACCCCTCGCCGTATAACTTTCCACCATGCGTCTTACTGCCTTGTCCGCGGCCTTCCTGGCTATCGCACAGAACGTGTATGCGTTTCCTATCGAGGTCGATCAGGCATCTGCCCTGGATGTCACCTTGAGTCGAGTCAGCGATACTCGCATCAAGGCTGTCGTGAAAAACACCGGTGCCGAGAACGTCACCTTTGTGCACCTCAATTTCTTCCGTGACAGCGCTCCTGTCAAGAAGGTTGCGGTCTACCGCAATGGTAAGTCAGTGGAGCTCTGCCGATTTGAATGTACCCAGGTGATTTACATTTGCTAACCATCCGGGCAGATGACGAGGTCGTTTTCGACGGAATCAAGCGTCGCTTCCAGCTTCAGGGGCTTGAGTCGGATTCCCTCACAACTCTGGGGGCCGGAGAAGTTTTGGAAGATGAGTTTGACATTGCCGAGACGACTGATCTGTCCAACGGAGGTGCCATTACCCTACGTTCCAGTGGCCTAGTTCCGGTGGTCAGGGAAGGATCGGTGACCGGGTATCTGCCATACAGCTCCAACGACCTGAAAATCGACGTGGATGGAACAAAGGCTTCCCAGGTGACCAAGGCGCTGAAACCGCTCGATCGCCGCACCAAGGAGAGCTGCAGCAATGCCAGCCGTAAATCGGCCTTTGAGACAAGTCTGGCTAACACGGTCAAGTTGGCCAAGGCCGCCGCTACTGCGGCGAAGTCCGGATCGGCCTCCAAGTTCAGCGAGTACTTCAAAACCACCTCCAGCTCGACTCGCTCGGTCGTTGCAGCACGACTGACCGCCGTGGCCAATGAAGCGGCATCGACCAGCTCTGGATCGACTACTTACTACTGCAGTGATCCCTATGGATACTGCGAGACCAATGTGCTGGCATACACGCTGCCCTCTCGTAATGTGATCGCCAACTGCGACATCTTTTACTCTTATCTGCCGGCTCTGGCCAGTACCTGTCACCAACAAGACCAGGCCACCACCGCGTTGCATGAGTTCACCCACGCACCGGGGGTGTACAGCCCCGGTACTGACGACCTGGGATACGGTTACGCGGCCGCGACCTCTCTCAGTAGTGCCCAGGCTGTGCTGAATGCAGATTCGTACGCTCTGTATGCCAACGGTATGTTCCCCGGTCCCCTTTTTTTTCCAGTGAGAGACACAGTAGACTGATCAAGACACGACACAGCGATCAACCTTGGCTGCTGATCTATTTCGATATGTCGTACTGCGGTCTGAAATGGTCTGAGTCGGTGGAAGAATAGTTTGAGGTGCGAGGTCGAGAGAAAGTACCTAAATAGTAGATGTACATAGATCCGTGAAGGGGTCGAGGACACTATTAGTAGCTGGAATGGAGATTATGCTTGAATATATCGTATATTTGTTGACCTTGATGTTGTGATTACTACTCGCAGTCGGTATATCTGAAAGAGGCGTAGTAGTAAATTGATTGCTTGATTGTATTTGGAGCTTTTTGCGCTGCGTATGCCGGTATGGTGGCGAGATATATCAATGGTGAGAGAGCAACCACCAACCCATTATTTGCGATCCAAAATATAGACCCAATGAAACACATCAGGAGTATGTGCGGAAGACGAGACCGGGCCAGCGGGGGCCTTTAGAGCAGTGCGAGAACGCAAAGTCCAGTAATTTTTGAGGGCTGGAATGCGATCGAACCGTAGGGCAGAATACGATAGTGTAATCCAAGTAGTATCCTTTCGAGTCAATGGGACAAGGTTCAAGGCGAGCAGCTCGACTGGAGACAAGATCGTCGTATCATTGTCGTCGTCTTGGGCTACCTCTCGTACGGTCGGACATATTTCGGGCGCGTCCAAGGCCGAGACCTTGAAGTCACTGGAGGTTGCGATCGCATCACTGGTGCTTTTGTCAAGGATCACATCGAAGGGAGCGAAGGGCATCAAGGTCGCGACATGATCCCAGAGCAAGAGGTCGGCTCGGCGCCAGTGCATAGCGTGTCCTGGAGGGATTTCTCGTTCGGCATTTTGACCAATTCGCACGGCCTCGGAGGAAAAGTCGACGTTCTAGGTAGATCTCAATCAGCGACCAGGCCTAATTAGCTTCGTGCACCCAATGATTCTCGACACTCACCAAGATTCCATTAGCTGTCCAGCGTCGCTCGAGACAGGCATCACGTAATTTTTGGCCCAGATGTGAGACCCCGGGACCCAAATGCAACACGCGTGGGGGGTTGCCTGGGGACTTCAAATGGGCACGTTGGCCCAGGTCGGTTAAGACGGCGTCGATTAAGACATGGCCCGAATTCAGCCACTCGCCCACATCACATCCAGTGGCAAAGCGATGATCCCAGAATTCAGGGCTATCGTAGTCCGGGGCTCCGGTAATCTTGTAGTGTTTTCGGTGGAGGGCCATTCGCGAAGAGAAGGGGAAAAGTTGGAGAGACCAGGAGGAGAGTTGGAGATCTCAACAAGTCACGTGGTATTTCGGTATGAAGGAGGGAGTAGTTATTAACCAGTGATTATTACTAGTAGTGGTTCCTGGAGTACTTTTACAAGAAATACACAATTAAAAGCAGTAACTACCTAGGGTAGGAGCATTTTCAATCTTGAATCTAGGGACTGGAGATGCCAGTGGTATATCTATTGAGTTGTGGTGCTGCATTACTCTCTTTAGGTGTGAACTACTACTACTAATATCTACCATCAAGTAGGCTAGTAACTAGTATACTACTGTAGTATACTAGTACAGAGCTTACTCCTAGTCGGAGGTATCTCCTAGTATCTAGGTAAATTGCAGGTGTGCAAGTGGTAACCTTGGAATATAAAATTCCAAGCTACGGAGTAATGCGAAACTACCGAAGATTACCCGCTCTGACGCGTCTCCCACTTCAAGCTACAACTCATGTCTATCATTTCTTGTTTCGGTTCAAGTTTCAATCAGAGAGCGACGGTTGTTAGAGATTAATCCAGGCCCACCAGTTTCAACTTGTTCTCACGCCCCTATTGCCCACGTGGAAATTGACCGGCCACTCCCAACGTACCCAAGCTGGTCGAAAAGTCGGCTTCTCGGGTTTAACGCCCCCTGGCGTCGAGTGAAAGCTTCGCAATGCTCAATCAAGCTTAGTATATACATACTTACTAACTAATTAGCATACTAGTACGAGATCCGAGTATACGAGCATGTCCACCCACGCTATAAAAGGCGCGCGGAACGAGAACACTTGGCTGGGATCGTATTTCGAACCACTTCAGTCTCTCCTTTCACTCATTTTTTTTGCTTCCTATTCTGTTGATCAGAATAACCTCATTCTTTTGATCCATTTCTTCTGTTGAACAGAATAATGCCTTCCTTTCTTTCGCATCTGCTGCTGGCCACTGCTGCTGCCAGCCTGGCGGCCGCTGCTCCCGCCCCTTCGCGTGTTTCCGATTTCACCAAGAGGTCTTCCTCAACTTGCACATTCACCGAGGCAGCCAGCGCCTCGGCCAGCAAGTCTGACTGCTCCACCATCGTCTTGAGTGATATCGAGGTCCCAGCTGGGGAGACCCTTGATTTGTCGGATCTGAGCGATGGCACCAAGGTGATCTTTGACGGCACCACGACCTTTGGATATGAAGAATGGAAGGGCCCTCTTATTCGTATCTCGGGCTCTGGTATTACCGTGACTGCCAATGATGGAGCCGTCATTAACGGTGATGGTTCTCGCTGGTGGGACGGCGAGGGTACCAATGGCGGAAAAACCAAGCCCAAGTTCTTCTATGCTCACTCCCTCGATGACTCGACCATCTCCGGCTTGACCATCAAGAACACTCCCGTGCAAGCCATCAGCGTTCAGTCGGACAATCTCGTCATTGAGGATGTCACCATCGATAATTCGGACGGCGACGACAATGGTGGCCACAACACCGACGGCTTTGATATCAGCGAATCTACCTATATCACTATCACGAACCCGACCGTCAAGAACCAGGATGATTGCCTGGCTATTAACTCTGGAGAGGTGAGCCTTCTTCCCATTCAGCGCCCAAAACAGTTCAAATCCTGGAGGGAATGCGCTAACCATTGTATTACAATAGAACATCTACTGGAGTGGAGCCACTTGCTCTGGCGGCCACGGTCTCTCCATCGGCTCTGTGGGCGACCGCGACGATAACACTGTGAAAAACGTAACTATCACCGACTCCACCGTGAGTGACTCGGCGAATGGAATTCGCATCAAGACAATCTATGATGCTACTGGTTCGGTCAGCGATGTGACCTTTTCGGACATCACTCTCTCGGGTATCACCGATTACGGCGTCGTGATCGAGCAGGACTATGAGAATGGCTCGCCCACGGGCACCCCAACCGACGGGGTGCCAATCACCGGTCTCACCGTGGATGGCATCACCGGTTCGCTCGAGGATGATGCGGTGGAGGTGTATATCCTGTGCGCCGAAGATAGCTGTTCTGATTGGACTTGGAGCGATGTCAGTCTGACTGGCGGCTCTACCAGTGACGATTGCGAGAATGTTCCTTCGGGCGCATCTTGCTAGTCGCATTCAAGTTCAGGGTTGCTTTTTCCATGGGATACTAGTATCTGTGGGTTATACTAGTATGAATTCTATGTACATGTACTCCGAGTCCGTACTAGCCTACAGTATCTATCATTCCTGTAATACTAGTGGTATCCAATAAGCATTTGTTCTCGCGAGTTCGGACCTCGTCGCTTGCAAACTTTCTAAAATAAGGAGTGAATTCCTGCTTCTCATTCAAGTTTATGATATACCTAGTAGGTACTGCTCCCCTAAGCAAATAGTAACTAGAGAGTGGAACACACTCGTCCTTTTCCCGTCAAACTGACCAGGGTCAGCTCCCTCCGAACGGAGTGGAGCACGTCACGGAGTAGAATCAGATTCCACTAATAGGATCGATGTCCAAAGTGATCCTCCCGGGATCCACCGTCAACGGCAAGCTCGCATGAAAGGTCGTACTAAGGTCGGACATAAAATAGTTACATGTACCGCCTACGACCTGTCAAAATGGCAGGGGGCATCAACACTGCAGGCCTGCACCGCGCGCTGTAACATGAATTATCTCATCTGCTGGACTTTCTTTGCAATTTCAATATCGACTGTTCCTCCTCCGACCGTCAACCACTTTCACGGTCACGTCCTCCCTACTAGTAGAGACACATGCGTCTCTGACCCTGCTAGTGTCCTGCGACTGCAATCCTGCGACTACGCTAATCCCCAAGAGAGATACATCTCCACCGCTGCTAAACTGAATTCAGCACTTCCAACAGGCCACACTCTGGCGGGGAATATTCGCTTCGATGCTATCATTATCCCTCCTCTTTTTCCCTTCCTTTTCTCTACAACTTTGGGTTTTGGGAGATCAACAATCACTATGGCCGATCAACCCATTGCCGTCGTGAGTACCCCCCTGCATTTCAGTCATCACATCAACCAATTTCCTGAACAAGGTTGTAGGATCCGGACCTATATGAAAATGATGATAACTCCTACCCAGATGATTGGCAGTCGTGCGTCTCCGTGCACCCCGTGCATCCTCTCTCTCTCTCCGAGTAGATCTATCACAACTGGACTAACTCTTCTAGGGAAACGACATCCATCGGCTCTTCGATCTATCGTGGGTTGCTAGAAAATGGTCGTCGGTAAGTTGTGCAAATCGGCACTCTCAAGTTGGATGATCCAGGCTAATCCGAGCGATCAATCAGATATCAATCGCTTCGTAGCGAGGAATACATGTACGCATCTGCAAATTGAACTCCCACCCCCACTCTTCTCCCTCTTTCTTTGTTGGCTTTCGGCCCCTGTCTAAGAATGCATACAGCCTACCATCTGACGATCAGATGTTCGAGACCTATGAGGCTGGGTATGGTAATTCTCGATCCTAATCAATAGGTGATCGTCGAAAATCCTGCTAAAGTTGGATACAGACACTTGCTCACCCTCGTTCTCGACTCGGAGAGGGATAACCCTCTTTTCCGGTCGCCCATTGTCAAAAATCCAAAACACATTCTCGATCTTGGCACCGGCAAAGGTGTCTGGGCCATGTACGTCTTTCAGCAAAAATCAGAATCCTGCGTAATTGCGCTCTTTTGCTGATGATAATGATAGCGATGTAGCCGACATGTTTCCAGATGGTCAGTCCAATATACCAGTCTGTGGGTCTTCTGTATCTCTCTACTAAATATCCCCCAGCAACCGTTCGTGGCGTCGATCTATTCCCGCCCCCTGTTTCCTGGATGCCCCCTAACTGCGTTCTGGAAGTCGATGATGCTCTACAACCTTGGACTTGGCGTGAACCATTTGATCTGATCTACATGCGAATCATGATTGGCTCCTTTAGCGATCCAGAATGGGATCGGATCTATAAGCGGTGCTACGAGTGGGTATCTCTCTATCATGGACGCCATCTCGATGCTAATTCAAATCTGGACCATAGTAATCTGCGTCCCGGTGCTTGGATTGAGCAGGTAGAGGCCAGTCCCGTCATTTCGACTGACGATGGCAGCATCCCCGAAGACAGCATCCTTCATTCATGGGGTATCAACACCAGAGATGCTGCGAAGAAGAGTGGTCGCGATCTGGATGCCATCGACAAAATGACCGACTCAATTCGCAAGGCTGGATTCGTCGATATTCAGGAGAAAAATTACAAATGGCCTATCGGACCCTGGCCACGCGATAAGAAATACAAGGAGGCTGGCACTGTGAACGCTCAGCATTGGCTTTCCGGAATGGAGGGCTGGTGCATGTGGCTCCTCACCAAGTTTGGATCCCCTGTCCCATGGACCAAGGAGGAAGTTCAGGTCTATGTGGCCAATATGCGCAAAGAGCTCAGGACGCCCCGCTATCATGCCTACCAGCGCGCGTAAGTGATCACCCCTTCGGATGAAGCATGTAAAATCCTACGAGTTATGACTGATCTTATTAGACGACGAGTCTGGGCTCGCAAGCCCTTCCCAAACGAGACGGTGGGAAAGAGAGAAGAGAATAAGAAGGAATAGTCACCAATACTCATTTCCTCTCTCTTTAACCAAGTGATTTCATGGAATAATATTGGGGTTGAATTAAAATTGTCCCATGTACATACCAACTAACTAACGTATTTCATGGGTGAGCTGGCCACCCGGGCGAGCTGGCCACCCGCCCTACCACCACCACCTTTTTTTAGAAATAAATCAACCAACACCAATTAAATTGCAAAAATTTAAGTGCTATCATTAAGTGGGCACCTATTACGTTTATGCCCTATCTCACGGCAATTACCACAACGTTGTGGTGCCCTCTGATTGGCCGATCCCTCTGCTCGCGGAGGTGCCGATGATGTAGCCATATTGGTCTCATTCGCCAATTGTAGGCGTATTTGCATATCTTCCACACTAATACCACCTTCGTAGGCCACTTAGGTATTAGGTAATGCATGCTTGCGTTGTCTTCGTCTATTTTCGGCCATTGAACGGCTATAATTGGCAGTTATAATAGCCAGCTGATTTGCTAAGCTTTGGGCACCTTTATTGACCTGCTCTAATTGCTGTTCTAGGTCATCATCAGGTGTATTATCAGGCATATTTGATCGCTGCTCAATTAACCGTTTAATTGATGATATTTGCCGTTTGAAACTGACTGATTTGCATGGTGTATGTGGCACAAATTCACGACTACTAGCACTACCACGTGATAGTGGTGGTGTAGGTGTTGGAGGGCGTATATCAAGTTTTTGTAGCACTCTCTCTGGCGAATAAGGTATAATACCAGAGCCAGTAAAGCTTGCTGTAATAACAGAGACCTTAAAGGTTGCTGCACGCGCTGCAGGGTAGATATCAAGGAAATCAAGCTTATCAATATGAGTCGTTCCGACACGGGCCATATCTTGCACATATTGGCCATAAAAGTGCTTCAATATACCAAAACAACCAACATCCAGAGGTTGTAATAGGTGAGATGAGTGTGCAGGCATACAAATTGTAACAATATTATTTGCCATGTATATTGAATCAAATTCGGGGGTCAGATGACTCCCATGACCATCTATAACAAGCATTGACCAGACACCACATCGCCTCTTGACAACGTGAGGAATAAAGTTATCTTCGAGCCATGAGAGGCCAATTGGATCAGTTGTCCACCCATTATCACTGACCTCAAATCGCCAGTCTCTTAGCACAGTATTAAACCAGCCTGTCATTAAGTTTTTGGCCTTGAAGATAATGGTTGGAGGTAGAACCTCATTCCGATTGATACACTCAATCACTGTTATCCACTCCCGGTTACCAGGTTGTAGGAGTTTTCGCTTCCCATGAAAGTCCCTGCCAGTGATCACTTTTGAAGTGCTTGTAATCCCCATTGCGAAGCCAGTTTCATCAAAGTTGTAAATATCATCATCATGAATACCATATTCGGCAATTTTGGTAGCAAAAAGATGAAACCACTCCTTGATAACCTTTGGATCCTCACATAAAGCACGCTGTGCATTGTATCGACGTGAAAAACGAGGTTTAAGAGCATCCCGACGTTTGACATACTCATATACCCAGTTTTTGCCGACAGTAATGATATTACCATTATGTGGCCGCTCCGCAAGTAATATGTTGGCCATATCCTTCACCATCATATGTGTAGGGGCTTTGCCACGCGAATCAAGGTCTAGTATCCAATTTTCTAATGAATCCTCTTCAATTGCTGTCAATTTCATATTGTTTGCGCGTTTAATTGGCCGATGAACTGCGCCCTTGAGCCGTGTTTGCAATGTGGAACGCGGTACGTCGAAAACACGCGCAGCTTCGCGGATAGATGATATTTTTTGGTCTTTTAGGGCCTGGATGGCAAATACCATCCTGCCCTCTTGCTCGATCAATTTTTGTCGGTTTCCATTGCGAATTGGTGGCATGGCGATGGTTGAAGAAAGGAGGTTTCTACACGCGACGCGTAAGTGGGGCGGGTGGCCAGCTCACCCGGGTGGCCAGCTCACCCATGAAATACGTTAGTACTAATGCCTGAAAGGTTGGGCCTTAAACCTCATGCGACCGTATGACTGTACCTTCCAAGGTTTGATTTCGATTTTTAATTTTGAGAGATGAGTTGCAGCTCTGTCTCATCAGCAGTCCTCCAGGCTTACTGGACTTCTGAAGTTTATATTCTGATCAAGGCGAGCGTGTACTGTGGCATATCATGCATTCGATCGGCACAATCAAGATCATTCTCCTTGCCTACGAACTTCGTTATCGGTGGTTCTATTTTCAGGTTCAAGTTCGACAGTATTGATTACAGGTCTTATCCCACTATTTCCATTTGCCCCCAGCTTCTCTGTTTCCCCTTGATCATCTTTGTCTCAACCCAGCCCTAACTCGGTTCCGCTCGTTGATTGGCGCATCGCCAGGAATGCGCCGGCCTGACATCACCACCGCGTCGCCCTGCTTTTCTCTCCTTTTTGTTCGACACCGAAAATATTTCTCATAGAGGTTCAATTCACGTCTCATAATATCCTTCTATTCTCTGCATCGCTGACTGAATTAATGATGGCTGACAAGAAGAAAGTGTTGATCATTGGGGCTGGTGCTGCCGGGATGGTGACTATCCTCGACCCTATTGGATTTGCAGTCGATGCTAACAGCATACATCCAGTCCTGCGCGTCTACTTTGGCCAATCACCCAGATCTTTTTGATGTGACGATTATCGATACTGATTCTCATACGGGTGGTCAGGCGACTTCGATTGCCCTGGATGAGTCCCAACATGGCGCTAGCTGGCTGAACGACGGCGTTCAGGGTGGCTCGGCGATTTTTCGACATACATTTCGATTTTTTCGAAGGTACGGTTACGAACCACAGCCAGTGAAGTTGCAAGTATCCTTTGGTAAGGGACACGACAACTTTTGGACCAACGTATTCCCAAGCGCCTTAGTCGATAACCACTCGCGGGAGATCAAAAAGCTGGGCCGCGTCCTGAAATTCATCAAATACTTGATGCCTTTGCTTGGTATCATGCCAGTCAAGACAATTCTCAAGCTATTTTGCTTCAGTGATGATTTTAACAACAAAATGGTTCTGCCTTTGCTAGCATTATTTCTCGGCACGGGCAATCAGACACCCAATGTGTCAAGTGTGCTACTCGAGCGTCTCTTCGATGACCCGCAGATGAGACTATGGGACTACGACTCTGATACTCTCCTTCCCAATCTCCCACTGATGTATACATTTCCGAATCTAAGCAACTTTTATGGCGATTGGGCGGCAGATCTGCGCTCTAAAGGGGTTGATATCCGCTTGACCACCTCAGTCGCAATATTGGAAAGGAGCAAGAAAGGCGTTGTAATTCAAACGAAGTCGGAAAATAATTCTGCCTCCTCACAGCTTGAAGGAGATTACCCGACCGAAACATTCGATGAATTGGTATTCTGCTGCCCAGCCGACGAGGCAAAAAAGCTCTTGGATCGCCACGCGACCTGGCGTGAAAAGTACGTTCTAGGGGGTGTCAAATTTTTCAACGATATTACCATCACCCATTCCGATGCCGAATATTTCCAATCTATCTTTGAAGCCCAGTATGATCCGGCCCTGTGTGCACAGCCCTCGACCAAGAAGCGAGAAGATCAAATATCATTTGCCGAGCAACACCCTGTTTGTCAAAAAGACGGGTGGCTGGGGTTCCGACCGATGTATTTTACTCACTCATTTGTTTCGGATCCTGATAAGATTGAGATGGGCTTTGACTGTACGAATTACCAGCACCAATTCCGTGAAAAATTGGGGGCAGGTCTTCCGCCGTCACCATTGGACGAGCATATCTTTCAAACCATTTATCTCAACGATCAACAAAAGGATCTTTGGACTTGGAATGAGATTGAATCATCCAAGATTATTGCGCGAAAATGGTGGCATCAGTTTGGTCACCGTTGGCAGCATTATCTACGAGTTGTGCCAGGTATGATGTTTATCAATGGGCAGAATCGAACTTTGTATGCTGGTAGCTGGACCATGGTGGTGGGTACAGCAGAATATCAATTCGCTTCCTGTATCCTGCTAACAATTGATTATAGAATATGCATGAAATTGCCTGTATTTCAGGAATTGCGGCAGCCTACCAGCTAGGTGCCACATACGAGCCATTCGATGACTTCGCAGAAGACTTTTTTGCCAAGTACTTACTTGTCTGTCACGGTACACGATACAAGAAAAGAAAGGCAAAGCAGACATAGTTGGGTTCTCTTTATCATACTATATACACAGCAGAAGTATTTCAGTTTCCATCTGACTGATTAGAGTACATATCTGAAACTTTCTATCTCATGATCTGTCTTATTGGAGAATTCGTCCTGCAGTTCCTCTCTTTCGGTCAACTCTGTCGACGGGCCGTAGACTCTGTCTCGTCGATTGTTCTCGTATACATAGTATACATATAAACAAATGAGAAAGAATATTCCGAAGACGAGGCCGGACATGGCGGCTTTAATTCCGGTCTATTATTAATTAGCTGGGAGTGTGAGCAAAATTGGAAAAGGTGATAACTAACCCCGTAAACTGGTTTTTCCGAAGGAAGAAAGAATTGAGGGCCGACGATATTGCCAACGCAGTAGGCTGCAAACATCAAAGCGCTGACGGTGCTCTTTTTGGTAAATCCAGCCACATTCGAACTGATGAGACTCAAGGACAAAGGAATATTTGCGGCAAAAACGGCTCCTAAGCAAAGTCCTGTCATCTTGCCTGCCTGGTTGTCTGCGCCTAATTTCCAGATGAGAATCATGCCGATCATCGAAACAGCCGTGTTGAGAATCATCATGAAGATACGGGTCTGTCGAACCAATGTGGCAAACCCAGAGGTGAGAACGAGAAAGACTAGCTGTGCCGCACCGAGAGGCATCTGAATCAGAAGCGATTGAAGTTTTGAGAACCCGAATCCATTGATGATGATGGAAGAGAAGCTGGTAATTCCGCCATTGCAGAAGTTTACGCAGAGTGTATACAACACCAGGAACCATGTTTGGGGGTCCTTTATGGCCATCCACACTTGGCCCCATCTGAATTTTCCTGTGTCCAGGACACCAGTCTTGTTGCTGAGGGTTCGCTGTATCGCAACCGCTTTCTCGGTCTTGTTGAGGAATATGCTTTTGGCAGGTGAATCAGGTAGGAAGGCAATGAGGACGAAGCCATAGCCGGAAGTAATCGCACCGAGAATCAGGAATAGCAGCTGCCAGTTATTGACTGTGTTGTTATGAATCAACCCAATGCCATATGCCACGAGACCTCCGATTATCGAGGCGATTGAGTTGCCAATAAACCAAGCAGCCTGTCGGGCAGGCTGCTCCTCTCGCTTGTAGAACATGCCAGTAATCAAGGCAAATCCAGGCGCAATGGATGCCTCTCCAACCCCAAGGAAGAAACGCGCGGCCATCAGTCCGGCGGCATTGGTGCAGGCAGCGTGGCACATCAAGACACCACCCCATATAAATACAGCCATCCCCAAATATTTGCCTAAAGGCAGACGGACGATAAGGTAGCCACTCGGCCAACTCCAGGCAAAGTAGCCAAAGTAGAAAATAGCGGAGGACCAGTTATATTCAGTACCACGGAGATTCTATCATTCAGACAGGGAATATTAGTCTCATGTCAAAGTAAAAAGTATCAAAAAAAAACAAAGAAGGGGAGGATAAGCACCAAGTCTTCCGCCAAGTTAAATAATGTCGCTTGACTTAAAGCCAACTTATCCATGTATTGTAGCATGTAACAAAATCCCATCAGTGGAATCAAGCTGGAAGGACTCTATTAGAGAGATTATTTGCGGGTGACTCGATTGACTCACTATAGATCTAATTTCCACAAGACCTTTCTTTCAAGTTCTGGTGTGGAAGTAGTCTCTAGGACCTGACCAAAGTCGACATCGCGAGCGGCAGGGGTAGATCCCATCTTCACCATATCAAGACCCGGTGTATCTTGATTCGATGGCATATCATTTTTCTCCATTGTGAAAGTATGAAGCTGAATGGTGATTCAAGGTGTGTTCAGGGGATCGATGCAAATAACAGGAAGAATGGTATTGGGGATTGATATAATAACTTGAAAAGAAAATTATGGATATCTGAGCGATAGGGGGGGTGGACTCGGCAAATCACAGATCACCCCGCGAAACCTCCAGGGCTGACTCGGAGGTTAATTTGTGTATATATACGGAGTATATGGATTCAATTTCTTCCATCGTGGGATCAGACCGGATTATAAACTTACAGGAATACTAGCGATAGTAGAAGATTCACCAAACCCCTCATGGCTTGGTGGCGATGGGATCTGACGAATATCAGTCACCGCTTTTATTATTGTGGCTAGGCCGCCGCAGTCGCTTAGCGGATACAAGCAGCGTTCTGTATCGCCCAAGAGCAGTTTTCATATGATAATAAGAATGAGCGCCACCAAAGAGTTAATCGAAGCACTCAAGACGGACAACCAAATCGGCAGTCAGCAGCAAGTCTAAGCGCAAAAAAGTGCCGTCCACAACATCCTTTCTGTCTCGGTATGCTTATCATCACCTTCTTGCCCCAGAATCGATATCGGCTGGACCTGGGGGACCCGAGATTAGGACTCCTTCTCGGCTGTTCCTCCAATACGCGAACGGCGTCGGCAATCAGTCCCGGTCTCCTCTGGTCGGCAACCCACTTGTCTATCCCTACATCGCCATTCGTATGAATGACCTGTGATGTTTACTTGGCGTGATTAGCAACTCGGTCGTCACTATGGGTTCGCTGTATACATTTAGTGTTTACCCCACAGAATTTACTCCGCGGGGAAGATCCACCACTTCCACCACGTTGCCGACCGGCGTCTGCGCCTTTCATGGATGACTGTTCAGCTCGCCAAAGCCGGAAAATCGAGGAAATCTTTCCGCTCTTTGCTATCAAAACACTAATATTATCAATTACCAACGATAATAACCTAGTCATCGGCAAACAGTGCGGATATTATGTCTCACACTTGGACGAAGACTTGGATGTGACGCCACGGAGGGGTTTCTTCACTGCCCCTCTCCTGCATCACTTGCTTACTCTCTCTTTTTTTTTTCACTTTTCATATATTCATGCCTATGCTACATCTTCCCCAGTATCCCTGAGCATAGATCATAATATCCCAAAATGACTATCTCAGCTATAGGTATTGATGATGTTCGGGCGTCTGTAGACCTAGCCCTCGAGGAACTGCATGATTCTCTGCGCAAGGTCAATCACGAGGTACGTGGAAATTTTTCCAATTGCGAGTTTGCTCTTTCTTTCTAAGTAAACTGCACACAACCCCAAAATTTAAGGATACACATCGTCTGACAGGTGATCGGATCTTAGATCTGGTCGAACCCCGAACTAGCATTCAACGAACATCGCGCCCATGATACCATCTGTGATTTCCTCGAGAAGCAAGGATTTGCAGTTACCCGTCATGCATATGGCTTGGACACTTCTTTTGAAGCTCTGAGTGGCTCGGGTGGGCGATTGATCAACTTCAACGCAGAATACGATGCCCTTCCCGACATCGGTCACGCCTGTGGTCACAATCTCATCGCGACTAGCAGTATCGCTGCCTTCCTTGCCCTCTCCTTCGCGTTGAAAAAGTACGGCATCCCCGGTCGGACACAATTACTCGGAACTCCCGCTGAAGAAAATGGCGGAGGCAAGGCCGATCTGATCGAGGCAGGAGCTTATAAAGGCGTGGATATTTCCCTGATGGCGTAGGTGTCGCACTAATCTACCCCATTTCTCAGCCTGACTTTCTAACATCCAAGAAATGATACAGTCACTCCGGACCGAAAAAGGTGTTTTCGGATCAAGGAGATGCCGAGGGAATTGCTGGAACCCTGATGAATGCACGCAAAAAGATCACCTGCGGGTTTACGGGCAAGAGTGCTCACGCCGGAGGCAACCCATGGGATGGCATCAACGCCCTCGATGCTCTGGTATCTGCATACAACAATGTGTCTGTATTACGCCAGCAGATTCTCCCCGAACAACGGATTCACTGTGCCTTCACCGATGTTCCCAAGGTAGCCAATGTGATCCCCGAACATACCGAAGCGATCTGGCAAGTTCGAAGTCCGTCACTCAAGGGACTGAACAGTTTGGTGTCTAAAGTGCGCAACTGCATTCAAGCAGGAGCTTTAGCCACCGGATGCGAAGTTCAGATTAAGGAGTAGGTTCCACCGAAATGATCCTGGTGCAATACAGAGGCGATCACTAACGGGGGTGGCATGCAGGGAGGAACTCTATACCGATTTGCGATTGAACGATACTCTATGCGAAAGATACCAGGCTCACATGGGCCAGTACGGTCGCAAGGTGCTGAAACGACATGATAAGGTTCTGACTGCTTCTTCTGATATTGGTATGTTCTGTTATGCATCAATTGATACCTGGGTATTCTGGTTATTACCTAGTCCTAGTAGGTAACTATGCTAACAGAGCGATTTTGTGAAATTGTAATAGGCAACGTTAGCTATGTGACCCCCACATTGCATACCATGTTTGGAATTCCGACACCGGATAATACATTCCCTCATCATCCATCCTTTACAGCGTCTGCAGGAACTGATGAAGCGCATGCGGAGGCTATTGTGGTGGGCAAGTCATTGGCGTTGATCGGCTGGGAGATGCTCAACAATGATGAATTATTTGCGACGGCACACCAGCAATGGAGGGAGGAGATCGAGAGGGAGTAAAGGGATACTGATACTCAACCTAGGTAATTATATCTATAATGTACTATTCAAAGTATTCAAAGTATCTAAAGTATTAAAGTATTAAAGTATTTATACTTCGGCTATACTTCGGCATTTGACCTTCTCCGCACGTCAGTCGTAACTGCCGTTTTGCCTGAGGCACCTTCCTGATGATTCAACCACTTCCGCCGCTCCTTCCTTGGGTAACTCCGTACAGATTCAGAATACCCGTGACCAGACCGTGACTTGCCTTAGTAACTTCAAAACTTGAACTTCACTCCTCTTCTCCACTCATTCAACTCTACTATTCACTCACCTTCCCCCCCTCCCCCTCCTCTCCTCTCTCCCTCTCCCCACCATTCATGCGGCCGGCTTTTGCCTTCTCGACGTGGCGGGGGATTGCATATTCATGTCCGGTCGCAACGCGCCGCGCTCAAAGAATGGTACGTTCTCGCATCTGCATCCCCCATGCGGCTTTAGTCCCGATTTTGACTCGATCTCCCCTCCACCCCCTCCTCCGATCTGATCTATCAATTCTAACAATCTCTTCATAGGCTGCAGTACCTGTCGCCGACGGAAGGTAAAATGTGGCGAAGAGCAACCCATTTGCAAGCGCTGTCTCAACCTGCGACTCAGTTGCGAATGGGGGGTCCCTGTCAAACGCGGTCGCAGTGCGCAAATCCGCCATCTTCAACCCGCTCCGACCTCCGGCGAGATTTCACAGGAAGCTCCCTGGCCGACCTCGGATGCCGGTGATCTTACGGACCTCGATCTCGACCTCGATATTGATCTCCGGCCAAATACATTACTCAATGGTCTCTCGCCAGTCTCCTGGCCCGGGGATGCAGTGACGCTGGATGTCGCTCCCCATTTACCAGCCTTTTTCCCACCCGCCGCCGTCGCCCCGGCGAGAATTCCGACGCCCCTCTACCCACCGCTACACACCAACAAGATCGCCTGCGCCAATTCCTTAATCCTCACCGAACACGACCATAAATACTTCCAGTACTTCCCTTCCTCGTCCATCGTCTACTATTATATGAAAGGATGGAATTGGAGCAGCTTCTGCTATCTCTACGAGGGTCCCGCCGCCTCAAACAAAGTTATCATGCGCATGATCTTGGCCCTTTCTGCAAGTGACATGCATCGCGATGGCTTGGTGGTCAGATCTCCCGGTCGTCCCACCGCGGAAGATCACGGGCGTTACCATTACAGCCTCGCCGTCAAGGAGTTCCGTCAACTCCTTGAGACTCCGCGACGTAATGTTTCCGTGGAAGAGCTGGAAATTATCTTCGCAACCATGTTCCTCATGGTCACATACGAATGGCAGTTTGGCCACTCGGTGCGACATCTGCAGCTACATCTCCACGGGGTGCGTTCCCTGTTGGAATCACATCCGCAACTTTTTCGTCTCAAGGACATAAATGACGTCTTCTTTTCCCCCGAGCATGGATCTCCAACTCCAGATAACAAGGCAGTCTCCAAGCTGTCCTTCATCCCAGAACAATTTCTCTTGTGGATTCTGTAAGTAGCCTCCGTCCGCCTCTAATAGTATCCGTCACTAATTTTAGGTTAGATATATTGATACAAGCTCTCGCCCCATGGGCTTAACCGAGTCCCTCAATGATTATGTTCTGGAATCAAAAAATCCAGCCCTTCACCCGGATCACCTCCATCGCTGTGCTCGCCTCTGGGGGCGATGCTTCTGGGGCGAACAGTACCCTGACCAGGAAGTCCTCGATGATATCGAAAACTATCGTGCCTTGGAGCTACTCCATGCCGGCTTTAGTATGCGCCACCGGACGTGGAAGATGCTTGTGGATCCCGAGGCCGTCAAGGAAACCGCCGATACACTGTTGCAAGACATTATTGCCACGCGAGACGTGAGTATCATCCATTTCAATTATCGCATCTCACTGGCCAATGGAAACTGACGTATCCTATCCATTAGAAATTCTCCGACCTCTTTATCACTGCGAAATTCGCCGGTGCAGTCTCGGCCCGACGTACACTCAACACAATCTACATGGCCGTCTGTACATTTTACGCTCAGATTCTCTTCCACCGCCGGCTGCTTTCTGTCGAAAAGCTTCCAACGGCCATGCATCGCCAAGCCACGCACGGAATTATCGAAATTCTCCACAAGCAGTTTGCCCCCGATAGTCGACCCCTGCGGCGACTGCACTGGCCTCTGATGATGGCAATTATTGAAACCGAAGATGCGACCCAGCGGGTGTGGTTAAGGCAACGCCTCTTTGAATTGCGCGGGTTTCATTGCGAATGCATGTGGGCCAATGAGATTACAGATCAAATTCTAGCTCAGCAGGACGTGAGCCAAGGATGTTATGCCAATCTGGCAGAGCTGCTGTTGCAGCGCCTGCATGTGCAATGATGTGACGGTAGATTTTTGTATATCTAATAATGTCTATAGACCACTAATGTGTTGATGCCTCCTCCCTTACCATCGCCCTCGCCCTCGCCTTTGCCTTTGCCTTTGCCCGCTTCACGGACAGTTCTCCAAAAAGTATGCATCATATGCCACTTCACCCTTTGCTCGAGTGGCCCTCCCAACGATGACCCGATCATTCATCCACTTATATTTCTCATGACCCGTCTCGATCTTTACGTGGAGGTGAAACCAGTACTTGCTGGGATCAACGGGGCCGCCTTCCATGAGCGCCTGCAGGACTTCGGGCGGACCTGCACGGGTGCCCTCGGTCCTGTTCGATATTAGTATCTTCCATCTGGCTCGCCATGTCCCCCAAAACCCATTCCGATGGGAGTTAGAATATATTTACCGAATATAAAGCAATGCGCCGTCGTCGCTCTTGATCACGTAGTTGGTGTTGACGTGTGTTGTCTGATTATCCTCCACCAGCCTATATAGATATTGAATGAGTGATTAACTCACATTCCGGTGACAAGCCAGGGCTTTGAAATAACACATACATGAAATCAGCTCCACCAGGCACAACTTCGCCCTTGAAATGTGGCCCGCTCACTGAGCCTGACACAATAGGTACACATCGGCGTCGCCCATAGGGACCTTTGCCGATCTCCATGGGCGGGTCAACCGCACAATGGAGGGTGAACAAATGGCTTAGTTTGGGAGGGGGTGCAATGGTCTCCATGATAATTGGCACTGGCAGTAGATGGAAGTTTTTTTGAGTCCTCTATCATGCTTTGCTGGGGAGAACGAGGGGTTACGTAGGACAAGCCTGGGGTGACTCTCCACCTCCCACTCTCCACCCCGGCTTTCCCGGTGGATGACCTCGGCTATTTATCACCGGGGCTGTGGGGGAAGGCTTCCAAGGTTGATTATTCTTTCTTATTTAGAAGATAGTCCTGGATATCCTGGATTGGCTTACAATCTAGTTCTACCCATGTCAGAAGTATACTCAGGTCATCAGCCACCAACCTTGGAAGAGAACACTTGAAGATCTAGCATTGATCAAGGCAATCTCAGCTCGAGATGATATTTCTTTGCAGTGAGAACCTCAGGAGCTACTAGTATGCTATATTTTACCCAATCCAATCTAGGTCTTACAAATTGACTTGTCATCGTGAAACTTTGACATCATCGAAACAAGCTTCGCACGGATCTCCCGCTTGTCACCGTTTCCGGCAATTTTCCGAGTCAATCCACCGGTATCAATCAACAAGTTAAAATCAATCCTTGGCCAAGTAGGAATTACACAAAAAGTCAAAACTATCAAGCTTCAGTTCATGGTCGGGCCATTGGGTATTTATAATTCTAGTCTCAATTCTAGAGAATGGGGTTTTTGCTTTTTTCTTCTCTGCTGGCATCTCCAATGGTCTATCTTGGACCATCAAGGTATCATCACAAATTGCTGTACATTACTCTGCCAATACGCAAGAGATTCGAAAAGATGCCTTTATATAGATTGTTCGACATTTAGTCGAAAACAACAGTTTTGTGACCGTTCAGAAGCACACGGCGCTCGGCGAAGTACTTGACGGCGGTGGCGAGAACATTGCTCTCAACGTTGCTGCCAGCGTGAGTCAACTCCTTGGGGCTCATTCCGTGGCTGACACGCACAACGTTCTGCTCGATGATTGGCCCCTCGTCGAGGTCGCTGGTGACGAAGTGGGCAGTGGCGCCAATGATCTTCACACCGCGGTCGTAAGCCTGGTGGTAGGGCTTGGCACCCTTGAAGGAAGGCAAGAAACTGTGGTGGATGTTGATGATACGGCCGGACATGGCCTCACACAGGGTTGGGGAGAGAACCTGCATGTAGCGGGCCAGAACGATCAGATCGATTTTGTGCTGGCTGACAAGCTCCAGCACCTGTGACTCCTGCTGAGATTTGGTATCGGCCGTGACGGGGAGGTGGAAGAAGGGGATGTTGTAGGTGGCGGCGAGCGCGGCGAATTCCGGGTGGTTGGAGACGATCAAGGGGATCTCAATGCTCAGCTGGCCGGTCGACTGGCGGAAGAGAAGATCATTAAGGCAGTGACCGATCTTGGAGACCATGATCAGCACGCGGGGCTTCTGGGTGGTGGGGTGGATCTCGAAGTCCATGGAGAAGCTCTTCGCAGTATCCTGGAAGGCAGCGTTCAGACTATCGAGGGTAGGCTCCTCATCGCCGGCGGGCGCAAAGCGCACACGCATGAAGAAGCGCTGGGAGGTGGGGTCGCCAAACTGCGAGGAGTCCACAATGTTGAGGTTGTGCTGGACCAGGAATGCGGTCACGGCGTGGACAATGCCGGGGCGATCAGGGCCCGAAAGGGTGAGAATAAAGCTGGGGGACATCTTGACGGTGTTGAATCCGTTTGATACAGCTGGGGTAATACAAAGTGGGAGGAATGAAGATCGCAAGATCAAAATGAAGTCAAAATCTCCAAATTCCAAAATTGACCCCCCCCGCCGATCGCGGCGCTGACTCATTCGATCGGCCCCACTGCCTGAACTAGTCATTCAACCCTATTTCACTCTTCTAGAGTGGTGTTCCATCTTCTTTATACTTCTAGCGGCTTCGGTGATTTATGTGAAACACTTTGAAACACTTGAACGCTGTTTTTTACCTTCAACCTTCATTAATTGATAACATCGAAGGCTGCTGCATACAGGAAACCCCGAGTATTCAGGAAACCCCGAGTATACATCTGCATACATCCGCAGAGACATTAAGCGAACTATATTTCAACTCTTACAAGTTCTAAAGTAATAGAAAGTGGTCTTTCGTCGGTTATTTATGTATTAATTTCAATTTAATCAGTTCAAAAATCCATTCTATCCCATCTATTCCCTCTATCTCCCACCGCTCGAAACGCTCGGTTGTCAAGGCCACGGTCAAGGCGATGGTCCCCAAACTGGAGCCCCCCGCGAGCCTGAAAGTATCCAATGAATCGATGGAAGTATCACTTGGGACTGAGGCAATGGAAATGCTGATTCAATGATCATTTCCGGTGACAGCTTAGTCTGATCCTGCAATAGCAAGTCCCACGCCTCGTATTCTATCAGCCGTCGGCGCTGGTCCTCCTGCTGCGCCTTCTCCGTCCACTCTTCATGTGAGAATGAGAGCATCTCGGGAAAAGAATTTTCGCCTACTGTATAAGCCTCTCGGTCATTATGACTCGGCTCCGGCCGTGATAATGACTCATGGTGTTCGAATATCCCGTGAGAAATCATTTCATCAAACTCCGAGTCCTCTTGGTCTATCTGGTGATTCACAGGATCAGTCCCTTTCCAATCAGGCTGTGCTGGAAGCTCTGAGTCCTGTTTTCTGATTAGCCGCGCACGCTCTGATGACTCAAATTCCTCAGGCGATATCGCGTACATCTCTGAATAAGACTCTTGGCTGGCCCACTCTTCATACGAGATCTCACAAATCTCAGGATCAGTCTCCTGGCTCACATGGTATCTAGACGGACCAGTATACCCTTGATACGTGATATAGCTGGAGTCCATACTTGAAAAAAGCGGCTAGCAATCCTGATGATACTGCGATCAATGAAAAGAATATCACTGGGTGATGTTTTAGTGATTTACTAGTATGCCCTTGAGCTTAATCTTGTCAATGCCTGGTTAGCTCTTGAAATTAGGGGTCAACTTAACCTAAATATACTCGAGGGTCTGATAATCTGTTTTTTTTCCATTGTTCCTCGAGTTCCTATTTCATTCATACCTGCTCCATTGTTTACAGTCTTTGTCAGTTATTCGAAAACAATATCTCATTCTCACCATGTTAAACCCTTTAAAAGCTCACAAAGAATACCTTATGTAGCCCAATAAACAATGCGGTTATTTTTGTGTCGATTATCTCAGACCTTTGTGTTCGATGAGTTTTGTATTATCATCGAGGGGTAGTCTATGTTGTTCTCGTACTCGATGGCCTTGGAGGCCACTCTTCTATTCCTTTTATTCCTTTTATTCGGAGGATTCATATTTTGGTTGACTTTTTGCCTAGATCATACCCTAATTATCTTAGCGTGCAAATAATAACTAATGCTGCCCAGGTGTCTTCCACATTACCGTTTGGTTTTTGATAGTCCATACAGCTAGATCAAAGCGATTTTGTCTCATCGAGACTTTTCGTCACAATCCTTTCACCTTGTGAAACTTCCCTTTTCTTCTCATGACAAATCCATGGGTACTAGTATATCGACCCTGCAAGGATCTGAACTGCGGGATAATTACCTAACAAGAAGATTTGTGGTTGTTCCAACCATGACCTGCACGCTACTAATAGGACGCCAACAACTTGAAGTACAATTTATTTGCTAATCATTTATTTTAGGATCTAAGCCCTTGGAGCTGCTTTAAATAGCTACGGCTTCATGATAGAATGGTAGCATATACCTAGGTACCTAATCAAGGTCATGTATGCTGAAAAGTCTTACTAGTAGTGCTTCAAGTTCCCAAGTCTTCGCACCTGGAAATATCAACCTTGGAATATGGTAGTCATTCTTGCATACAATATCAACGGTCACATCGTCAAGCAACCCCAAAAATTCAGCATGATTAAACTACTAATTTTGTGACTGATTTTGGAAAATGCTGCAGCTAGCTGTGAGATGTCCCTTATTCGCAGTATGGCTAGGCTACTACATATCCGAACGACACTGAGTGGGCTGCCAGTGAGTCTGAGCGCCATCCACCAGAGTGGCGGCGGCTAAAGTAGGAAAGCCCCTCCCGGCAGATTAAATCCGCTGGGGTACAATTACCGACGAAACCCTGAAGAATCCGTGCAGAAACAGTCCCGTCACGAATCAAGCGAGCCCGTCTGATCCGGGGCCCCCAGGGCAGCTTCTATCCATTTTGGGCCCAGCTTTGACCAAAACAGCATGATCGCCATGACGCTAGAGCTCTATTAAATTGTCTCACTCTCATCTAGACACGGACGCTTCCTCGCCACGGCTCTTCAAAGCATGATGGGGAGATTAGCTCCTGCTACCAACATGATCCCATTGAACCTACAAGCAGCCTAGAAGGTATGGGAGCTGCCTCCGTGTCCGCGGAGTACTGGTTTGCCTTCTCCTTTTGGAAATCAAGGTCCTAAAATCATGCTTTGGAAACCACGGTGCAACGGACCGGGCTCCCGGAGTGAATGAGTGTATACCCGTCGTTTGACACGCTTCATTATTTCGAATGGATATAAAAGGGATCTGTTACCAACCCCAACGAACTCTTGCAACGACACAATTGACTTGGAGTTCAGTTCCAGTTTCCATCATATCTATCCGACATGGCTGCCGCTATATCTTACCGAATTTACAAGAATGCCTTGGCCTTGTCTGCCTTTCTAGTTGCTGCTCAGGCACAACAGGTTGGCACATATCAGACTGAAACCCATCCTTCTTTGACCTGGTCCAAGTGCACCAGCGGTGGCACTTGCACATCGACTACCGGCAGCGTTGTTATCGATGCCAACTGGCGCTGGGTTCATAGCACTACTTCATCTACCAATTGCTACACGGGCAATACTTGGGATGCAACTCTTTGTCCCGATGATGTGACTTGTGCAGCTGCCTGTGCTGTTGATGGTGCTTCATATTCGAGCACCTACGGTGTGACTACAAGCGGGGATGAGCTGCGTCTTAACTTTGTCACCACGGCATCGCAGAAGAATATCGGCTCTCGACTTTATCTCATGGAGGACGATAGTACTTACGAGATGTTTCAACTGCTGAACCAGGAGTTTACCTTCGACGTTGATGTCTCCAATCTCCCCTGTGGTCTCAATGGAGCACTCTACTTCGTGGCAATGGATGCCGATGGTGGCACTTCTCGATTCCCCACGAACAAGGCTGGTGCGAAATACGGCACTGGTTATTGTGATTCGCAGTGCCCGCGCGATCTCAAGTTTATCTCTGGTGAAGCCAATGTTGAAGGCTGGACACCATCCAGCAACGATGTGAATTCTGGCGTTGGAGACCACGGCTCCTGCTGTGCTGAGATGGATGTCTGGGAGGCCAATTCGATTTCCAACGCCGTCACTCCCCACCCTTGTGACACACCCACTCAGACTGAATGTACCACTGATGCCTGTGGAGGTACTTACAGCTCTGATCGATATGCAGGCACTTGTGATCCTGATGGCTGTGATTTCAACCCATACCGCATGGGCAACACGTCGTTCTATGGACCGGGCAAGACCGTGGACACCAGCTCTCCCTTCACTGTCGTGACTCAGTTTATCACCAACGACGGCACTTCCACAGGCACTCTGAGCGAGATTAAGCGCTTCTACGTGCAAGATGGGGTGGTTATTGGCCAGTCCGACTCCCAGGTCAGCGGTGTCACCGGCAACTCCATCACTACCGATTTCTGTACCGCTCAAAAGAAGGCCTTTGGAGATACTGATAGCTTTACCGAGCACGGTGGCCTTGCGGGTATGGGTGCTGCTATGGCCGAAGGAATGGTCCTCGTGATGAGTCTGTGGGATGACCATGCCGCCAACATGCTCTGGCTCGACAGCATTTATCCGACCACCGCCTCCTCCTCCACCCCTGGGGCTGCACGCGGTTCCTGTGATATCTCTTCGGGTGATCCCGCCGATGTGGAGACTGCAGATGCTAATTCATATGTTATCTACTCGAACATCAAGGTCGGCCCGATTGGCTCAACTTATAACTCTGGCAGCTCCTCCGGCGGATCAAGCTCGAGCACCACCACCAGCAAGACATCCACTACCAGCAAAACATCCACCACCAGCACCACCACCAAAACATCCTCGACCACCTCCTCTACTGGCTCGAGCACTACTGGAGCGGCTCACTATGCCCAATGCGGTGGAAGTGGCTGGACTGGTGCGACCACCTGCGCTAGTCCATACACCTGCACCAAGCAGAACGACTATTACTCCCAGTGCCTATAGGGGAAGTTGCAGCGGATATGGAAAGATGGAAAGATGGAAAGATGGAAATCAGAATGTTCCGGTGAATCTTCTTTAGTTGATAGTCAGGAGAATGCGATATAAAACCTTCTTTTGGATGAACTTTTTGTAATTTTTCATAACTTCTAGATTTTCCCGTAATATACTCTCGCTACCAACCGACTCGTTAGAGTACCTAGAATGCTCGAGTACGGTGATGAACGTATCCGAAAGGTAACATCAGATGACTTCATTAATTAATATTCTCAACCCTGTCATTAAAATGCCCGTGCGCAACCTTTTTGATCCTCAGTTACTTTAAAGCCCCCCGCAATGTTTGCCAATTGACTTCCACTACCCCTGCATGTCAGCGCTAGTGGTAGCGCCTGCAACGAGAAGTCAGCCGACGGTGAATAGTAGTTGCTGCAGGCAAGCAAGATTTATTCACAATGTACGGGGTAGCGTGTCGCTCATGCAGACTGCATGATTCTGCAGCAACGCCATGCGGAGGCCCCTCCGACTAGACAAGCCACTTCGTTTCCACCGGTCGAATGGATACTTGCTTCTTCCAAGGGTTTCCCCGCGTCTCCAATTTATTCCATTCCCCTGTGGCTTTGGAGACTCGGAAATTGGCACTTGCATGACCCTGACGAATTTTCTTTATGACAACGTAGATGGCTACCGCGGGTCAACTTGACGTCCTGCATGTGCAATCACACCTCCCATATATTCAAACCAAATAAGTTCTTTGTCTTATTTCCAAGGTTTCCAGGGTTGTTCCAATGAAATTTCAAGGTATCAAGAATGCACTTTAGCAGGGGTTATCCGATGCCACCACCCACTGTCTGCCAAATGTCCACGCTATGACCCTGGGATCCATTTATCGAGAACCGTTCAGGATCGCCCATGATCAACTCGGTTAGTCCCAGGGCTTGATAGGAACTCAGATTAGTTTCTGGTTTCCTAAAATTCCCGTCACTGGCCACCTAGGCAATCATCTTCTCTTTACAGTCTCAACGCTAGTCCTTTAAAGAACATCTCCAGACTACGAAATGCAATGAGTACTAGTAACCACATTGAGACCAATTTATACACTGGCAGTCCCATTTTACCGGTGCCATTCATGCGTATTTCGTAATTCATTCTATGGAAGCACTGAGGCTCCACTATATACAAAAAGAGGTTTGTGGGGATGATGTAGTCCCCCCCTTTGCTTTCTGCCCCAACTCCAGCCACTGGAGATTTCTCCACGCAAGTCCCACTCCTCGATGCAGGCATATAAAGAGAGGTTATCTGCCCCCTCCTTGGTTTATTTCTGGCTCAATCTCTACTGCAGAGCAGCGACCAGCTCATCGACACTCTTCATCTCGCGGGCGTTATTCTCACCCACATCGAGAGCAACCAGGAACCGACTGACACAGTTGTAGCCCGCAATTCCAGTGGTAAGTTCGACAATTTCACGTTCATTGAACCCGACCGTCTGCAGCTCCGCAAAGACCTCATCTTGGACCTTGACGGTTTTGGTCATCTGGTCAGTATAGCGCAAGACGGCGCGCTGCTTGGGAGACAGCACACTGCTCTCGAGCTCAGCCAG